AGGCTATTCCACTTATGAGGCCCTTTCACCTATAGTGAAAGTGTAATTTTAATTTTGCTAACAATTTGAATGTAGGCCCCTCTTGATCTTGAGGCCCTAGGCTGAAGCCTAGTTAGCCTATAGGAAAATCCGGCCCTGGCCATTGCAATATCACAATCAGTCACATATTTTGATCATCATCTGTAGACAATCACCTTTACTGCACATCATGGTTTTGCTGAATCAGTATTTTTGCCCCCAGGCAATTATAAAAATTAAAGCACACTGAATGAGAGTACATTCAATATGATTTTTTTTTTTTATAATTTTCTGTAGTTTTTAACATAAGAACATAAGCAGCGAAGCCTTTTCTGGCAGTCTGTTCTTAACAATGGCCAAATAATTGCATAAGAAAGCCACTAGTCTTCCAATAGATGGCCTTCAAAGGTACTCATACTTCAATGAAGGCTCATAGCCATTGATCTTAATATCTTTTTTCCCCCTTCTTTGTATGTTGCAATAAAAGGTAATGTTAAAATTAGGTTGCCACACTACAATATTCCTTTTACCTTCTTTATGTACTTTCTGTTAGGAAATGACTATTACCTAACTTGTTGGGTTGGCAATATATATATATATATATATATATATATATATATATATATATATATATATAATATAAATATATAATATATTTATATTATAATCCCTCAATATAGCTTTAAGACTGCTGTATTGTATCATACTGTGTCCTGATTGGTTAGCTCTGTAGCCAATGTCCTTAAGAGGGAGCTAGAAACATGGTTTGTTCTCTTTGCTGTTCATGCTCTTTAATATCTCTGTATGCTACTGTTTGCAAATCCAGGAGAACTGTTTATTGTGAATGACTACGATGACTGGTAAGAAGACTTTGTTATTGGATTATCCCTGGACTGTCATTTTTACTATCTACTGCTTTATATGTATGACCTGGACTGTTTTTTTTTTTAAACTTTTATTTCATAGTCAACCTACATCTTGAACAAAAAATCAATCATATTATATATATATATATATATATATATATATATATATATATATATATATATATATTATATATATATATATATAATATATATATATAAAATATTTTCCCCCCCTCCCTTCCCCCCCCCATCCCAACCCCCACCCCCCTCCCCGGACTTCCCAGAACAAGTACAGGGTAAAAACATTTAACAAACCTTAATGAAAAACCCCACAAACTAACTATCTATAGATTTATCTATCACTTGTACTTTAACTCTTCTTGTTCAAAACAAAATATAACTTTTCTTGCTTAAAGGTAGTTAATCCCAATTAGTTCAACAATAAACAAACAATTTAAAGCCCTTGAAAATATATTGAAAAATCTATAGCCTTGAATTTAACATCCAAAAGGAAATTTCTCATTTAATCCATTACTTAAAATAATTTTTAGATATAATCCATCCATTCATAACCAAAGAGATCATATCCTTGTTCACATTTATATAACAGTTGAAACCTCCAGTCATTTAACATCCAAGAGAAAATTTCTTTTTTTAAAAATCCGTTTTTATAACAGTTGAAACACCCAGTCATAAGTAAAGAAAAAAAAATTTCAAAACCAAACAAATCATATCTTTAGTAAAAATCTTGAATACCAATACAATCATTCACCATGTTATCCTGCCTAACAAAGAAGAATAAAATTCTTCCACTTCCATTTCCCCCTGGTTTTTTTCCGAGCCTTCTTCTTCCGCTTTATTCCACCATCTTTTATTTTTACAAGCTTTTGTGTATTCAACTGTAATTTTATCTTCCAGTCCTGTGCAGCTCGCAATGTAATTCCTTTTAAGCAACACACCTCTTTAAATAGGATTAAAAATCCATTTTTGTAAAGAAATTGTAATGTTCCATTTCTAATCCTTCTTAATATCTTGAAAATCCAAGCTTCTCCCAGCACTTTTCCTCTCATCTGGTCAAAACCTCTGGATAGATCTCTCTCCATATCTCCGGATTAACCTCCTTCAAGCCCATCAGTTTATTCATAGTTTGAAAAACATCCTTTCCATGTTCCTCAGGCGCTTTTTGTTCTTCCTCCTCTTTCAACATTGCAACTTTATTAGCAATTTGAGTAATAAACTTCTCAAAGATCTCATCCAGTCTTTCCATAAATGATTTTTGCCATGCATCCACAAAGTCCACTGTCAGTATTTGTACACTTGCTGAATTATGTGCTGAGAAACCTCTATTCTCTTCAAAAATCTTTACTTCTGCCATCTTTTCTTATGCTGCAAACTTCATTCAGCAAAGCTTCAAAGTACTGACAGCTATAACGACCTTAACAAGCGCAAACAAGCTTTAACAATCACTTTCCTCTTAAGCTTCCGTCCTCAATCAGCGCCATTTTGGATCTCTTTAAAGCTTTCACTCGAATCTGAAAGGACTCATTATTCATCAGAGTTAAAGAAAGAAAAATACTTGTGAGAAGCTGTCCTGTTTTGTTCTGCCTGCGTGAAAATCAATCCTTGAAATCACTTGTTTCACAGGGATGGTCGCGACGCCTTAATCCATCAAAGACAGAATCCCGAGTCTGGAGCTGCTTTCCAGGCGTTTGGGAAGCCCTCACCCTCTGCGCCTCCAGGGTTAATCCTGGAGATTTTGGGGGGCTCTACCCTATACACCTGAGCACTCCCCCCCCCACTTTGCCCAAGGGGGAAGTTCCAGCCGCCAAAACAGCTGATTTATGCTGTTTTGGTGGTTTTACAGATCCCGGGAGTAGCAGCTCACAAAGGAGCTGCAGCGGCGCCGGCGGTGCCAGCGGAAGTCTCGACCTGGACTGTTTATTGGACTGTGCCTTACTATTTCCTGAAAGTAAACACAACTCAGTGTATCTGTGTGTTGGCTGTGTTTATTCGTAACCACTCTCAATCGCTTTCATGTGCACACCCTTGCTACTCAAGGGTTACTCTGCAAATTCCTTAACACTTTCTATGAATGTATAAGATTTCATATTATAGAGATACAGTTGTACTCATCCTTCTTACTGAACCAACAGCTGTGCTCGTGTTTTACAGTTGTCTCTTGGTTTCATAATCTTGGTCATGAGGCCTATTACAACTTAGAATGAAACAGTACTTTGGGTAGTTAGATTTGAAAGTAACTACTGTACCCTTTTTATCATTGCTTGGAACTTTGTCTCATTAGAATTTATAAACAGGATCTTCAGAGCAACATTGTCACACTGAATATCAATTTAGCGTACATTTCTCTGAGAGGTTTTAACTGCAGTGCATTGTGCGGTTGGTGTGGTATGTCATGTTTATAGACCTAACAAGCTAGCAGTGAGTGGTAATTCTTCTGATGCCAAGGAGAGGATCTGGGAAAGAGCATGCAGTAGATAGAAATATAGATGTTAGGATTACAGTTATAATTAGTAACTGTGCTATATAGAGTTTGTCCATTCCAATATCAAATTTGAGAAAAAGCATGAAGAATTACTAATAAGAGAGAGAAAATATAATTTTCTGTCAGATTTTTCTTTTTTATCAGTCAAGACTATACAATATTTGATACAGGTTAATATTAGGATTACCAGATTTTTACAGCTGGTTTATAAATTCAGCGGAAATTGTATTGAAGGTAATTGACTATTTTCCCTCATAGAAGAATATCAGCTTTAAGAAAGAAAATGATATAAAGTTTAAAATAAAGATTTTAATATCCCTTTCTGTAATATCAAGACCATATTCTTTTTTTGTTCTATTTTTATAGGGGCAATTTTAAAACAGGCAAATTCTGAAATCCTATGCTTTGCCAAGAGCAGCAGCTTATTAGACTTCTTCTCTTTTGTTTCTGTTGCCACAGGCAGACAGAATAGTGGTGAAATGTAAAATTTGTTACTACCGGTTCTGTGGGCGTGGCTTGGTGGTGGGCGTAATATGACTGGGTGAGCGTGGCCAACTTTTTTTTTTTTTTACTTTTAAAACCATTTTTCTACAACCTCTTCGGCCAAAGAGGTTGTAGAAAAAATGCTTTTAAAAGCCTCTGACAATCCCAGCTGAGCCGCAAGATCATCAGTCTCAGCTCTCTCGCCGTCACCCAAAGTCGGAAATAAGCCATGCTGTGATCAATGCTTTTTTGAAGCAGGAAACGGTTTATTCAGCATCCAAAGGTGGTGCAAAACCTTGCTGAGTTCAAGTGAAGATAATACAAAGTCGGCGTTGGGCGGCGCCGCCACTCAATGCAACTTAAATAAGCGCGCCCACCACCGCCCTTCCGGGCCCCTCCTTGCCGGCACGCCCCACTCAAGTGCGGTAACGCGCAGCAGCTGTTCAACGCCCTACCGCGGCCGCAGGGTGACCATCCGCCTACCTTCCCTAACACCCCCTCCACCAATCCATGCTTAGAACAAATCAACCCAAATTAACCCAGCTTCCACCCCCATTGCCTCGTCGTGTTGCTTCCGCATCTGCAGGAGGATTCGTCGGCAACGTGTCGAGTTTGGGATCTCGACAATCAGAGGCTTTTTTTTACTTTTAAAAGCATTTTTTCGGCTGAAGTGGTTGCAGAAAAAATGCTTTTAAAAATAATTTTAAAAAAGCCTCTGATGATTGCGCGGCTCAGTTGGGCATGGGGGGGTTGCAGGGAAGTTTGCTACCACCCGCTGCCATTGCTACCGGATCGAGCGATCCGGTCTGAACCGGGAGCATTTCACCCCTGGACAGAATCCTTCTCCATGACAGCTGCTTGGCAGTGTTCTTTTTTCTTTCCTGCAGAACTGTCCAAAGAAGATGCTTCATCTCAATATTACTGAGGTGGAACTGCTAACATTTTAAAAACAAAAAAGCTGCTATAATGCTATTTCCAGTTTTTGGAAATGTAAAGGGAATTGCAAATTTGACTCCAAGAGAAATTAGTTACTTTACTATCTTTGTTCTAATCATGAGAAGAAATTTTTTATTATGTTTGAATTATTAGTTTTTAAGGATTGCTTTTGTTTGTTTTTCTTTCTTTTCAAGGAAAAGAAAAAGGGGCCATCTCTGATTCAAATAAACAACTAATCGCATATGAGAGGTAGGAATAATTTAAAACATATTTTTATTTTAACAATATAATAGAAATATATATTTATTTTAATGGCTTATTGTGTTTTATATATGTGGCAAGAGTATTTTAATTGCAAAAACAATATACTTTCGCTCTTAAAAGTGATGTGATTTCTAGACCACATGAAACCTGGAAAAGTATCTCCTTCAAATTTTTCTTCTTTGCTCATAGTTTATTTCTTTTCCTGCTCTCCAATCACTTTTGCCATAATCTCCAAGAAAAATAGCTAATCCATCTGAGATAAACTAACTTCAATGAAATTCTTCTGATAAGATATCTCTTTCACTGTCCTGAAAACACCTGCAGCACTTACACTTCTTCCAAGTGTAAGAAACAGTACAAAAACGGGAGAGATGACAATTTCTCTCTGAACCTCCTTAACTTAGGATACATATCTGATTCTGAATTACTCTTTTTCCCTGCTGTCACCTGATGGCCCATTGCAGGTTATTCAAGAAATCACTCAATCTTCCAAAGAGTCATTTTTGAGTTTGGGAATGAAGGAAAATGAGAACTTCTCATGAAGTGTCTTATATTTATTTTAATATTCAGATTTTGAATCCTCAGACAGTCACAGGTTTTTTGGATGCCCTTTGACAATAAAAATGCAATATTTTATTTTCTAGCTCTCTACAGTTCTCTACAGATGTATCACTGATTCCTAACAGAAAAACATTTTCCATACAATTACAAGGGATTGTAGATGGATTAGAAAACATCATTGGTAAGTAATGTATGGACAAGGTGGATACTATTGGTGCCCACTGGAAAGAATATTGATGTAATATAGATTATTTACTATCCATCCAACAAAGCAAAATAAAGATCTAACTGCCAGATCTAATCTCGCTAAAAAAAATGCAGCTGGTTTGAAGCAATTTAGAACATTAAAAATGTGTGTGAGACCAATTTGCTGAATATTAGTATTGGTCTCACATTAGATTCACATCACTTTATGATATTTCCTCCACTCAGATTTAATCTCAAGATTTTCCAGCTATTTGTTGAAGTAGCTTCCTTGACTAGGTTGTGCAACAGGTCAGAAGCTTCCAAAAATCCTAAGTACTTGTCTCCTCCTCCTCCTCCTCCTTTCTTCTCACTGTGCTTCTGTACTGGAGACAAATTCCTTCTGTGTCTAATCACACTTGGCCAAATAAAGAATTAAATTCAGTTAAATTCAATTCAATTAACATGTTGCAAATAGTGGCTATTTGATACTGCAGCAGCTGCTATTCCAAAGACCAGTTGTAAGTAACACTCATTTAGTATCATTGCAAGATTGAACAGTTGCTGAACAAGCATCATATACTGGGACTAATACTCTGCAAAACTAGTATCAGACTTCTCTTACTTTAAAATATTCTGTAAAATATTCTTCAAACATTAGTGCAACTCCCACATTTATGTATTTCTTACTGGGTTAATAGTATTTATTTTCATTTGAGCCATAATATTCACTCTGTTAGCAAAGATAAACTTAAATATGGATTCTATCTTAGAATAAGCAAAAGCAGAATTAAAAATAAGTTTAAACTTAGCAATTATGGAACATGACTATATGCATATCATTGTGTTCAGTTGAGTTTTATTTTAAGTAAATGTGCAGAGGATTGCTTTCTTAATTTAAAACATATGACAGTGCATTTGACTATGCATGGGACAGTGCTTCTCTTTGGTAATGTAGTTCATAGTCTTTAATGGAAAATTTCAAAAATCTGTCTAAAACATGGGTGTCAAACTCTGCGTCACTTTGATGTCACATGGCATATTGTGACTTTTTTGCTTTTGTGGAGGCTCACAGAATAATACTCTGCTTCTTTACTTGGAGACCGAGTTAATTTTTCTTGGCGACGTCTTCCTTGTCTGGGTCCTCCCCAGTTCAACGAAGGCGTAGCGACGATGAGGCTCACCACCTACAAAAACAGGACCCCCTCCCAAACTATGGATCAGACGGTCACCAGGGTGGGGTTGGATGATCTTCACTGCACCCTGAGAAGGAGCATATCAGGTAGGACCAACACTCCTTCTCCATTGTCGGGGAAAATCATCCAGGAATGGAACTTACCAAGCTGGTCAGTCATACAGGGGAGGAAACAGTCTGGTCCCAAGTCCCCCGCTCAGCGCGAGCCCTCCAAAAATCTCACCTTTCCGAGGCTGGCTCCTCCTGAAGGAGGAGACCCAATGGGTCGAAGACCATGTGTCCCATGGACCCTGCACAGCTGCATGACTGTTGGAATCATTGCGATGCCCAAGGTAGCAGAAACATCTGAACTCTGCATGAAAGGGCATGTTCGCTGACCCCCATCTCCCGAAGTCAAAGGAACAACTATGGTGTCGCCAGAGAACATCTGGAATCAAGAAAGAAACCTTCACCCCGCGAAGGGCGGAAGACCCCACCAGGCCACAAGGCGAAATGGGTGAGCTTGGCCTGCATATGACGCATCCAGCCTGTGGGCTGCCTGGTCTAAATGTTTTATTTAAAAATATCTTTTCCAAAAACATCCTGGTCAGTATTAAAAAATACTTTTATTTTTTAGTGTTCCAGATATTCAAAGCCTACATAAAGTATAATCACTTACAGGAATTTGCCAAGTTCAGCTCCAAATTAATCATTAAACAAAATAAGCATATGCCTAGGACACTAAGAAAAAGAGCACTACAGGTATATTCCAGTGAGTTACTAAATCTAGACCTTCAAATATATGAGAATTATTGGGGAAAAAATAAATTGATATTTCTGTTATATTTACATTTTCAGTTAAAATAGTTAAAAGTCCTGAGAATATTTACCCATCCTGGGTGCTCAGCCAGCAATTTTTAAAAAATTGTTTCATAATGAATTCTGATTTTGAAAATATTTTTAAATTACCATATTTTCCATTAGATCAAGTTACACCATTTTCTCAGGATTCTCGGCTTTCAATCTTCATTGATCAGTCTTTACATAAAATAATGCAGCAATGTGAAGATTACATAGATTTTGAACCAGGACATTATCAATCAACATGGCCAAACTGTGATCTCATTCTTGGGACAGATCCAGATTACCAAAACAAAGTATGTTTCAGAAGCTGTACTATATGAGGGTAACAGTATGATGCCAAATATATTTCTGAATATTTTTTCTTAGTATTATATTTATTCAAACCATGGACAATGGGCTACATGTAATCTTTCAAATCCTTTTGTTATGGCCTCCTAAAACTGAAGTTACCAAAATTTGGCTGAACAAAATTTCTAACTTTTGGCAGAAAATTCTTACATCTCAGTGTAAGAAATTGATAAGTAGTCATTTCTAAAATAATTAACAAATACAGCCTGCCCTTCTTTACAAAAGTCTTAAGCTTCATTCTCTTTATATCGAAAGGGCACAAGAAATATTATTTCCCCTATTTCCCCTATATATACTGTAGATGTTATCAGTAGATTAACACCAGGCATTTTGTATTAATACTTCAATCTCCTTATAAATCTTAATTATCAGAACACTAAAAGATCTTTTTTGTAATCTACTGCTTCCATTAAATTATTTTCCAAACTCCAATTCCTTCAAATTCACATCCCAAAAAAATTATTCCAGAAATCCTGTGTTTTACCACTTGTGTGATATGTAATATTAGTACATTTCCTACTGTGTCCCTTAGTTTCAAAAATAAGAAAAAAAGGAAATGAAATGAAAGAAAAGAAAATCTGAGAACATGTGGCCCATGTTTACTAAGTGGCTCTTCTTAGCCAAGCCTTTTCAGTATGCCCTACATTTAGAATTTAACTTTTATGAGATTACAAGAAAGTTTTTTTTTTAAAACCATTTTAGTGTTATTACAAAAAGAAATGCAGGTTTATTTTCCACTGTTCTAGGTTTTAAAATGTTATCATATTACATGATGTTTCTGTTTTGAATTGAAGCCAATGTAACCCCTTGACTTTTAGGCTTTGTTTATTTAGTGCTTGTTTTTAATGTTCTTGTTTAAACATACAAATGGTATTGATTAGGGGGACTAATTAATAGTATTTCAGCAGGAGTATACAGGAATTTAATTCTTTTCTTTGCTGCAGACCTGAAAAAAATGTATTTCTTCTGTAATGCTGTTTGTATTGAAAGGAAATTTTCTACGGGCATCAGTGAAATTAAAGTCCTTGTCTATTCCTGCTTTGACACTGAAAATTTATTTCTTTTAATCAATTATATGGCCACCGTACTTGCAATAGCAACTCTGGGAAACTAATAAACTTAAAACTCAAAATGGACCAATAACAATAAATATACTTGTGGCAACCAAGGACCATGACAAGAACAAGCGTTAAAATACCACCCATCCCATTAACTGAGATCTATTTATTCCTGAGGCTCAAGTTAGCAGGAAATGCTATTGGTACAATTTGATTACATTGGGTTAAAGCTATGTCTACTAAGAATATAGTTCCTAAAAGCTAATCAGAGGAAATCGTCACCATTCTAATGTGAATGGTATCAGTGCCGTTTAATAACAATTTTGAAAAATTGTAGCATTATATGTCTTTGATTTTTAAATTTGTTTCCATCTTAATTTTTTAGATTCTGGACCTTCTCTCTCTTCAGAGTTCTTCACTGGCCCGAATAGAATCTTACAGCAGAAACTTTATGGAATATTGCAGTATGGTAGATAAAGCAAAATATACAAATGACAAAATAATAGCATTGCAAAGAGAGATGACTACAAAGGAGTTTAGAAATATACTAGAAAATTATACAGTTGATGTAAAGGAGATTGTATGTATGCTTATTGAGAAACGCATCTCTCTGTTTAGAGTAAACAGTTTGAACTTTCAGACAGACTGCCTGCCATATTTTGAGGGTCTGCTTAAGACTATTTATTTTAAATTTTATGCATCAATTGATACAAAGAATGTACATCTTGTTGAAGTAAGTATATAATTTTTATTTAATTAATTTCTTAAATTTCTATTCCAGCTATTTCACTGCAAATGTTTAGGTCAAAGTGCAGTATATGGAAGACATAGTTGGAGATCAAACTTTTGTTTGGTTATATTGCAGTTGAAATGAGATAGCCAATAGACAGATAGTTGCATTTTGGTAAATTATTACAAAGTGAAATATACACAGAGGGAAGGGTAATGGGTAGTCAGGCTGATTCAAAAGTTGAGCTCAACTAAGATAGGCAGGGTATGGTATATCAATTTCACTGGATCCGAGATAGTTTTCAATCCTAATTCAAGGTGCACCATGGTACTTGAAAAAAAATGTTTCTTGTAAGTTCCTATTTGGACTGTAAATTCGTCTTCAGAAGCATTTCTCCAGATACTCCCCCATGTTAAGATATGGTTAGTAGCAATCCAGGAGTGGACATTTTCAGTGCTAGCTTGTAATCTTTGGAATGCCATCCCCATTGATGTATGAATTATACCAACTTTTTCATCATTTCACTACCAGGGCCAGGAAAATTTTTGTTGTTGTTCTTCTAGGCCACAGGTCCCAACCTGTGGGCTGTGGCCCACTAGTGGGTCATGAGGGGATTGCAACCAGGCTACAGAAATGGACAGTGAGCGCGCGCGCACACTCTTGCATCCTCACTATCACGAGCAGCATGCTCCATTTAAATGAGTGGCAGACATGTGCACGCCACTGGCAGAAATGGAGCTGCATGTGTGTCTGCGAGCACTAGCCGGCCGTTCGCAGAACCATCCCCTGTTGGGGAACTCTGCTCTAGACATTTTAATCAATATTTGTTGTTCACCATTCTGAACAGTGCTTATTGCCTCTGAGATTACAAGAAGCAGTTTTGTGATTTAGATGTTTTTAGATATCAGTAAGCATTGTTGATTTTGAAATAGTTGTAGCAGAGATATACAGTATGTATAAATTAGAAACTAAGTCCAATGAAGAGAGACTGAAAAAAACTGGGAGTACAGACCCTTGAGAAGAGAAAAATCAGGGTTTGTACAATATAACTCTTTAAACAGCTGAAGGGATGGCCAGAGAAGGAGACCAAAATATGGCCTCTTTTGTTCCAGAGCCCAGGATACAGCATTGTTAGCCCTTCCAGGTAAAGCAAACAAGAAACAGGACCAGATGAATTAATTCTACTTTATTGTAAGATTACATTAAGAGACTCTTGCAAGTCTAAAGTACAAACTTCCTGCTGCCACTTTTAACTGTTTGATCCATTAGGCCAGGTCCTTCCTAAATTTCTTTCTCTGACCTTCAAGCCACTGGAGGCCATAGACTCTCCTGTTTGTTTCCTAGGCAGCATCTCTTCCCGTCATTCCCCAAGGTCATTCACACATTCCATCACAAGAATAATGCATAAGTTACAGGAAGATGAACTCTGATTGACAGAAATAAAATTCCTAATTGCAAGTGTGGGTTGTCAGTGGAACTCATTGTTTATTTATTATTTTATTTTATTTATTATTGCGATTTATATGCCGCCATTCTCCCGAGGGACTCAGGGCAGCTTATAAAAACAATATCCAATACATATCACAATGAAATTAAAATCAAGAACCCAATTAAAACAGTTTAAAATTATAGCAATGTACACCCATGGCGGATCAGCTAAGTTGACAAAGAACCACGTCTTCAACTCATGACGGAAGGAAAGGAAGTCGGGGGCTGTCCTGAGCTTGGCGGGCAAATCATTCCAGAAGATCGGGGCTCCCACAGAGAACGCTTTCCTCCTGGGGCCCGTCAGCCGACATTGTTTGGCTGAAGGCAGCCTGAGGAGGCCCACTCTGTGAGAGCGCACGGGATGGTGGGAGAGCGGCTAGAGGTGGTCCTGCAAGTACCCCGGGCCTAAGCCATGAAGGGCTTTATAGGTAAGCACCAACACCTTGAAACGAATCCGGAACGTCACCGGCAGCCAGTGCAGCTCGCGCAGGAGAGATGTTACATGGAAGTATCAAGAGGCCCCTGTAATTACCCGCGCGGCCGCATTCTGGACTAGCTGGAGCCTCCGGATGCATCCCAAGGGCAGCCCCATGTAGAGGATGTTACAGTAGTCCAACCTAGAGGTAACAAGGGCGTGAGTGACTGTGGCGAGGGCATCCCGGTCTAGAAAAGGGCGCACAAGATGCACCTGTGCAAAGGCCCCCCTGGTTATGGCCGTCAGATGGTCAAGTGGTTAAGGAAAGTGGCAGGCTCCTCTGCACTAGATATGCTCAAGAGGAGACTACTTAGCTGACTGTTCAGGCTGCTTGAATTTGGATTCTGTCAATGAGCACATGGTTGAATTTGAGGGCATAAATGGATTCTTCCAACTGTACAACTCTATGAAATAATGAAAAAAAATTGTACTGCAATCTATGAACTCTTACAACCTGCATACGTTCAAATTAGATTTGATGGCACTTGTAGTGCAAGAAGAATTAATTGTAGAAAGACTGAATTAATTGTAAGGAGTACTTCATTATGAATGAAACAAGTAAAATATAATTAGCAAGTATGAATTGATATTAGCTGAATTATCCTATGAAATAAAAATTCATGGGATGGTGAGAGCTGCATGTGAAAGCCTAGTGAATGGTAGTGATGGGAAAAGAAAATGACTTTGGAGTGAAATTTTGTAACATTTTGAATGAATACAATCCCAGGGAAATGTTGTTGTCAGGTGACATGAATAGATAAAGAAAGGAGAATAAGTTCAGAGAAAGTTATTGGAGGGTTCATAAACCAAAGAATGAATGAGACAGCCTGGGCCTCATTGGGCCTCATTTCAGAACTATTTCCTTACCCAAACACCTGATACAGAATGATCAAGGGTGGCCAAAGGTCACAATAATGACAGTTTTAGAAGTAGGTAGTTTCCCCCTTTTTTTGTATAAACACAAAAATTAGTTCAATAGTTTGGATTTAAGATTATCAATACAAAAAAAATCTTTCTATCTTGGTTTTTTGTAATGTTAGTCAATAAAGTTGTCTGTGATATGATTAGCTACCAATGTGGGGTCCTTTGTGCTCTCTGCGTTTGGTTGGTTGGTTGTTTTTTGCAGATGTTTCATTATCAAACTAGGTAACATTAGGTAATCAGTAGGGAGTAGGGTTTGTTCTCATTTTACATATTAGTGGCTTGCCCTATTAGTGTTGGTGGGAGCGATCTTAGTGGTTCCTTGATTGGACTGTTATTTACTGACAGCTTGTTTGTCTGAATTGGAAATTCCTTGATTGGGGTATTATTTGGTTCTTGATTGTTGGTCTAATGTTAATCTTGGTTAAGGTGACCAGATTTTGACATTGGTAAAGAGGGACATTGTGGGCGTGGCTTATTTTGTGGGCGTGGCTAGCTGGTCATGTGACTGGGTGGGCGTGGCTAGCTGGTCATGTGACCGGGTGGCCATGGCTATGTGTATAGGGTAAGGTGAACAGATTTTAACATTGGTAAGAAGGACACCATTGTGGGCGTGACTTATTGTGTGGGCGTGGCTTGGAGGCCATGTGACTGGGTGGGCGTGGCTAGCTGGTCATGTGACCGGATGGTCATGGCTATGTGTATAGGGACTACTCAGAGGGCTGAAAAGTCATTTCTGACAGGTCCTCACACTTTTGACTGGTCCTCACACTTATGACCATCCTCACATTTATGCCCGTGCAGTATTCTTAACAACCATGTCACTCATTTCACAACTGCTTCTCTTCACCATGATGACAAGATAGGGCAAAAATGTAAAATGTGAGGACAGTCGTAAGTTTGAGGACTGGACAAAAGTGCGAGGATCAATCAAAAATAACTTTTTCAGCCCTCTGAGTAGTCCATATGCACAAAAGGACTAACCAGAGGGCTGAAAAAAGTCATTTCTGACAGGTCCTCGCACTTTTGACTGGTCCTCACACTTATGACCATCCTCACATTTATGCCCATGCAGCATCCTTAACAACCATGTCACTCATTTCACAACTGCTTCTCTTCACCATGGTGATAAGATAGGGCAAAAAACATAAAATGTGAAGACAGTCGTAAATTAAATGACTGGTCAAAAGTGCGAGGACCAGTCAAAAATAACTTTTTCAGCCCTCTGAGTAGTCCATATGCATAAAAGGATACAGCAATAGAGAGGGATGAAGGAAGGGAAGGGAAATTAGAGTAGGAGTGAGGGTAAGAGGGGGAGGAAGAGAGGAGAAGGAGAAAGGAAGAGGAAGTAGGGAGGAGAAGAAGAGGGGGGGAAGAGAAAGTAAGAAGGAAAGAAAAGAGAGAGGTGGTAGGTTTGAGGAGAAAGATTGCTGTACAATAAAAAAGATGAAAGGGAAGAAAGCCAACCCCAAACAAATATAAAGATATTAAGATAAAGAATGAATGGTTAAACTTTAAAGAATAAAAGAGAACAAATATGAATAAATAGCAGTAATTAGAAACACACATACAAACATACAATTTATTTTCTTTGAACAGAGTATTTGGCCGGTTCACAAATTTAAACAGTGTTTAGTCACTTCAATTAAATTTACAATTTCTATATTTCCTTTTTGCCATATTTATTCCTCATCTATTTTTTTAAAAAAACCAATATTACCCTTCATCTTCTATTCTATATTATACCCCTTTCCATTGTCATCTATTTTTATATCCATCCTCACATTGTTTAATTATGTAATTATGTAATACAGTTGTTTAATACAAATTCAACATTTTAATATAAATCAATTAGTTATAAAACTATCTTTTTTGTATATTAATCAATATGAACATGAATATTCCAATTATTTCCATGCAATCCAATTTCTTACAAATCAATTAATTATATTTACCAATAATAATAAACCAAATAATTTCCCCCATATATTCCTCTGAACCACAACTTAAACATTTCTGCTTTCAACACAATATACAATTAATAGTATCTCAATTCAATTATTACAATTCCCTAGTTAAATACAGCTTTTTTTTCTTTTGTGTTTTAAAATCTTGAACTCTCCTCCTAAATTTCCCATTGTTTGCAGTTTTTCACCTACCTTTTTTGGGGAGGAAAAATAAAAATAAATCTCTCTCTGCCTCATTTTGTCATGTTCCACCAAAGATCCTGGTTTCGGTTTCGTTTCTGCAGCTTAGCTAGGGGGAAAAAAAACTGCTTCAGGAACTCTTTACACTGATTGCCTGTAGGGCGGCCCTTTGAAGCCCCGGGCAAGAGTTTAAACAGGTTTTTTTTTCTTCTAGCCATCAGCTGGGGCTCAAGAGGCAGCGGGACTGAGGAGGCAGAATGAAAAATCGGGACTTTTTTGAAATGCCGCGGGATGCGGGACAAATTGCTAAAAAGCGGGACTGTCCCGCCAAAAGCGGGACATCTGGTCACCTTAATCTTGGTAGTAATCTCTGTACATCTGGGTGTTGGTTGCTGGTGAGGATGTGTTTTGGTCTTTTAGTTTCCTTTTTTATTGTATCTTTTGAACATAGAGATGTTTCCAGAAATATTTTCGTGTTTTTGGACTTGTTTGGTCTAGGATACTGACATTTTCCCAGTTGAAACTATGGTTAAACCTGTTCATGTATTGTGAAATTAAGGAGTTTTCATCATTTCTTATCACTGTTAGTTGATATTCATAGATGTGCTCTGCTAGTCTTCTGCTTGTTTGTCCTTCATAATAGATGTTACAATCCTTATACTGTATGTTGTAGGTGACTCCTGTTTTGTCATCTGGGATTGCTGGGTCTTTTGGTTTTTTTTTGGAGGGCTGGTTGTCATAATCTGTTGATGGTTCCTGGGATGTTTTTGATGCATGGCAGTATTATCATTTTCCCAGCTTGTATTGGTTCTGCTATACTGAGTTGAGTGATCAAGCACTTTTTGATGAAATTGCATGGATGGTATTCGTTTTATTGGAAGATGTTGTACAGATGATCTAGTTCATCTTTCTGATGTTCAGGGTTGCTGCAGTGTGTTTGTGCTCATCTAAATAGTGTTCTTACACAGATTCTCTTGGGGGAGGTTGGGTTGTTACTATGGTAGTGGAGCACTTGGTTGGCATGGGTGATTTTACAATAGATTTGTGTTTCTAATTTGCAATCACTATTTCTGCTGATAGCGATATCCAGGAAAAGTAGCATGCTATTGTTTTCTTTTCCCCTAATGAATTTTATTCATTTGAGAATGTTGTTGATGGTTTCGTATGTGTCCTGTAGTTGGTCCATTTTTATTATGACAAAGTTGCCATCTACTTGCCGGCTATCAATTAGCTATCAATTTTAGTATTGCAGTGCTATACTTCTGATGCTGATAAGAAAGCATTTTCTGTATACTGCAAATACTTTCTTTCTGAAGAAAATTTCTCCTACTTCTCTAACATTCCCCAGAGATTCATAAGGTCTCAGCAGAAATTCAGAAAAGCCCTCAGAAACGTAGTTATTCCAGCAGGTCTTGGGGGTTGAAATGTTATCATATACTTCTTTGTACTAATAGAGTATCTGTTTAAACCTGATCTATGTTCCCTAAAATGTAAGTATAGTATAGGTGCAATCATATTCTATATCATAATTGATGTCATTGTTTTAATTTTATTATTTTAATTAGTTACTCTTTTAACTTGATTTATGCATATTGGGTATCTACACCTCTCACAATATATAACAGTTGGAGTAATTAGTAAGCGAAGTAATAATCTATATCTCAATTGTGATCAAAAGCTTCAGAAGGTTTTCCAAACAGTTAAAATGCTACCATAACAAGAATAATTATATATCTTTGGATATGTACTTTTTACATCTTTGGATACATCTTTAAATATTTACTATTTCATTACTTTTAGGTCACCCAGTCAGCGGTAGCGAAGCTGAACAAAGAACTAGTAACAGTGGATGGCTTTGTTGAACATTTGCTATATCTTCAGGAAATTTCCTCACAACTACCAAATATAAAGGTTGAATATCACTATCTTTCTGAGCTCCACTTCATTGCAAATGATTATAACATCTTTCTCCCACATCAGCAGCTTGCTCTTTATCAAACTGTTGTGCGAACACTCCAGAATCTTCAATCAACTATCCTTATCTGTGAAAAACTGAAGGATGATTATGTTATAAAGTTTAATGAAAGTTTGGGAGAATTTATGGATAATTTACAGGTTGAAATGAAAGAATACAAAAGCAAGGTAATAGGGTAATGACAAATATATTTGCATCTGCTTCATAGTAGCAAGATAAAAAACCTCAAAGCAAAATATATACAATTTCTATTATTTTATTTTATTTATTTGTTTGTTTATTAGAATATTTGCTGCCCATCTTGCTGTGGGGCTACTCTAGACAGCTTACAACAGTAAAATGGAAAAATTATAAAAAAAGGAATAAAATTATAAAAATAAATAGTTGAAGTACAATAATATGACATTAAAAAGTTGAGCGAAGGGAGAGCAGGAAGCACAGGGGCATGATGGGATCAGTTAGTGTAGCAGCCATCTCTAGTAATATACTTCCCTATTGGATCCCCAGGCCAACTGGCAGAGCCAGGTCTTCAAGTCCTTGCAGAAGAATAGGAGTGTGGAGGTAAATTTCACCCTAGGGGGCAGGATGTTCCAAAGGTCTGGCACTATAGCAGAGAAGGCTGTTCTCCTGGATACTGTGAATTGGAGTTCCTTGACCAATGGGATCCTCAGCAGGCCTCTCTGTCAGCATGAGTAAGGCAGGTTTGTTTTAGTGGGACAAGATGGACTTGTTCATTCCACAGGCCCCAAAGACTGATGGTGCTGCCACTCCTTGTACTAGTTGAAGTTCTGAATGCAGTTCAAGGATACCCCCATGTAAAATGCATTACAGTATTCCAGACGAAAGTTTACTAAAGCTTGAATACCTGAGTACATGGAGTCCTAATCCAAGAATGGCCGCAACTGTGTACTAACCAAAGCTGTGCAGAAACTATCCTAGACATGACTGCAACCTGATCTTCAAGCAGAAGTCATGAATCCAAGAGAACCCCTAAGTTCTTCGCCCGCTTTGAGGTTAAAAGACCTGTCTCTGTGGCTCTAGCCCAAAGGCCCTCTAACCTCCAGCCACTCACCCTGCATGAACATCAAGTGAGAGTTGTGCTGAAGGCTGTAAACAGCCTGAATGACTATAGACCCATTGCACTGGTGTCTATAGTGATGAAGTGCTTTGAGAGACTGGTCCTACAACACCTCAGGTCCTGTCTTCCACCAAATTTCAATCAATACCAGTTTGCTTATAGAAGCAACAGGTCGACAAGGGACACCATTGCCACTGCTCTACATATTGTATTGAGACACCTTGAGAAATCTGGGAATTATGTCATAATGCTTTTTATAGACTATATCTCGGCCTTTAATATCATCTTACCAGGCTGACTGACCTGAATTTCTCTCCCCTCACTTATGACTGGAGCAAAGACTTCCTGACGGATCATCCACAAACAGTAAGGGCTGGGTCCTTTACATCTTTCACCCTGAAGCTCAGCACAGGGTGCTCAGGACTCTGTGCTCAGCCCCTACCTGTACTCGCTTATTTACATGACTGCATATCCTCTGAACCATCCAACATCATAATAAAGTTTGCAGACGACACAATGGTGCTGGGTCTTATAACTGGAGGGGGCAAATCAGCATACAGGAAAGAAGTCCAGAAGTCCAGATGGTGTTCAAAAAACAACCTACATCTAAATACTAGCAAGACAAAGGAGATGGTACTGAATTTCCAGAAGCAAAGAGAGAAACCTGCCCCACTGTATATCAAGGGGGGGCCGTGTGGAGAGGGTTTCATCTTTTAAATTCTTGGGAGTGCTCATTAGTCAAGACCTCACCTGGAAAAGCAATACGTTCCTGGTGGTTAGTAAGGCTCAACAGAGGCTTCATTTCCTTAAAGTCCTGCGGACAAATCAGGTGGAACAATGGCTGATGACTTCTTTCTATCGGTCTACAATAGAAAGTGTACTCACATACTGTATAAAAGTATGGTATGCTGATTTAACAGCTGTGGGCAGGAAGGCACTACAGAAAGTGATTAATTCAGCACGAGAAACCATTGGTTGCCCCCTAACATCACTGAATGACATCGCCAGGTTTTGCTGTTTCAACAGAGTAAGAAAGATACTTAGGGATAATTCACACCCTGGCCAGTGTCTCTTTTCAGTTTTACCATCGGGCAGAAGACACAGAAGTATAGCCAGGCAGACAAACAGGTTTAAAAACAGCTTCTACCCAGGGGCTGTCAGACTTCTAAACACAATATAGCACCACAAACAGATTAATATGACAAATTTCACTGGTGCCAGTGTAGTGTGTAATATGTATATACCATGATATAAGATCATACACCAGAGTAATATACATGTTGCACAGAATATGACGTACATATGGAAACATATGACTAGTTTTTTTCCCTAACTACTTGTATAAGGATTATTCTTTATATTATTCATGTTTTCTTGTATTATAAGAATACATTATTCTTGTATGGACCACCAGTAGGGGCTTATTCAATTTCATTGTATACATGATGTACAATGACAATAAAGGCTTTGAACTTTGAAATTGCAAATTGGTTCTGAACATGATAAAAATGCCAAAGTCATGCATCTTGAAGCTCCATGCACCCAAAGTCGCTCTGTCTTGCCAGGGTTCAGTCATAGCCCACTGCCCTCCATTCAGTCCCTACAGCCTCTACCTGTAGATGGCTGAGAGGGTTGTAACAGCATAGAAGGATTTTATCTTCTATTCCCCATCAATTAGTCAGAACTAAAGAAGCTTCTTGTATGAAAAGTGAAACTTTTCAAGGGAAAAAAAATCAAGACGGTTTAGTTGCCTTTGGAACAACTATGTCCTGGATGACTGAGAATATCCATAGGCATTCAGCATATTGATGATATTTTGACCCATGGTGACGGATTATTTTACCCAGTAGCTTCATGTAGATGTTAAAAAGGAGTGGAAAGAGTATTGAGCCCTGTTGTACGCTATAAGAGAGTGGCTAGAGAATGACAATCAACACCAATTAGGAACAACCTTGGAGAAAGGAGCTAATTTAGTGCAGATGTGCACTCAGTCCTAAATTCCATAGTCAGCCCAAAGTTCGATGGTCAAGGAGAGCCAAGATGGTTGCACTACCTCCATCCCACTCTTGTCAGATTTTGCTATGACCTCAGAGTTTTTTCTATTTTTTAAAAATGTCATTTAGAATTTATTTCTATTTCAGGTTTACACAGAATGGAAATGCTGATGTTAACCTGATCTAGGCTTAGAAATAACACTCATTGAGATTCACTTCAAGACAATAAGCAAAAACTTATTCATACTTTAACAATAATGAAAAAAGTTCCTGCTTCTTTTCTCCTGTGTATGTCAATTGTTCTTCCATTATTCTTTCAAGTTATTCCCATCTTTCCTTTTCTGCCTTGAGCACATGCAGTAGTAATTGTGTGTGAAAGGCAGAAGAGTAGGATAATTTAATCTTCCCTCTATTGTCTACTTTTGCTAATTGGGAAATTGAATGCATTCCACTTTGGAGGTGATAATTCTTTCAAATTCATTGTCTTTATTTTAGTGTTTACAGTGGTAGTAATAGCAGCCGTTTTCTATGTAGTAGCACTATTATAAAATTAAAGCAGCAATCACCAAACTATGGGCTTTGTGAAATCCTGTCACACCCAATTATGCATAAAAGCATAGCCATCCTTCTCTGAAAAGAGAAAGAAAGAATGTATGTTGTACTAAAAGAGGATATAGGCAACTTTGTTTAGTGTAATGGATCAATTTGAATTTTTTAAAAACTATTTTCCTTAATTTTGCCCAACTATAGTTATTTCTTTGTCATTAATTGTTATTCATTTTGTTGTTTAGGTGAGAAATCCTGTCCTCCTCCTTAGTGAAACTCTGCCTAAGACAGCTAAAGAAATGATTGGAAATCTTATTGAAGAAGCAGGAATTATCAGTGAGAAAATTTTAAATTATGCAAATTACCAGCATGTGCTTGATGGTGCCATTGGTGACATGAAATCATTGTCTGTGGAAAAACTGTCTCACAGAAGTCAGGCTGGAGATTCTCAGAGAGTGCATGCTGAACTCTCAGAAATTGAAGGTGAACTACAGTTACGTAAATTGTTATGGGACTCACATGAAGATTGGGCAAAACTTATCTTTAAGTGGAAACACACAATCTTTTGGAATCTTGATGTAGATGTAATTCAAAGTGAGGTTAACCGATTCATGCAGAGAATTCATATTCTTGAAAAAGGTAAATGTTTGATAATTGCAATAATTATGAATTAATCAAAACAAAATATTTTATGAATTAAAATTATTTTGAGATAATTTCATAATAATGATAATTTCATGAAGTAATGACCAATTTTGTTTTAGCCAAATGGTAAAACATTATTAAAGGAAGTCTATCTTTTTTGTTTTTAATTGTGAGATTATTTTGATTTAATGCAGATAACAAAATGTTATTTATACAAAGATCATACAAGTCACACTTTTGCAAATGTTACCCCCTTTTCATTGATTTATCGTACAAAAATATTTTTTAAACTATGAAGAAGGTTTTGTGTTAAAACTTTTTACATGCATATATGGATTATAGTTATGTGGAGTATTAGTAAATATTCACGTACTAGCTATTAGAATTAATTGTGATAATTAAGATCATAATTAAATATAATGAAAATCTTTAATATAAAGCCAACAATGGATTGGTGTCACAGGGGATTAGAAAGATAGAAAAGAAAAATTGGAGCATAGCCATATCTGCACATTAGGTTTCAGGAGAACTATTTTCAATAAGTTTGGAGATGTACTAGGCAGGATCCTGTGAATAGAAATTAACAAACAGAATACAGAAAAGTTGGCAACATCTCAAAAATTAGATACTGAAAGTACAGTTGGGCAACATGTCAATGGGAAAAATAGAGGGTAGCTTACAAAACATTTGTTGATGCATAGGAGCTTTTGACTGGATTATGATTTTAAAGGAAAATGAATGAGAAATGGAGGATATGTGTAATCATCAAAGAAACACATTATGAAGTTGCTAATATCTGCAGAAAGAAGCCATAAAGATTAAATCATGCACACAGCACGAAAAGGTGCTTGAAAATGCTTACAAAGGAAGCTAAAGACATAAAAATAGTTTTCACTGTATCAATTATAAATGGGAAAAAAGGAAGGAATGGTCCCACTGGTTGAAAAATGAAAGGATAGTAACAGGAGAGAGAGAGACTGAGATAGGAGAAGGAGTAGAACTTTTCAATTTTTGCTGTGCTTCAATCTTCTTCCAAGAGAGAATTTTGTTCAAATGGCTGAAAGATAATTAATGGGGTTTATGAAGAAGTGCCTGTATCATATGCAGTATGAATTTAAGACACCAGGACCAAATCAAGAGTCTTAAAAGATATACTTTTATTTTATGGATATAATCCTGAAGTCCTTTACTGTGATCTTCAACAAATCCTAGATTACAGGGATATGTCAAAGGATTAAATAAAGTATTCTGATCTTCAAAAAGAGTAAAAAAGAGAAAGGTAAGTTGTTCAGCTTGTCATTACTCCTGGAATCAGAAGACCAGATCGCCTGAAGCCTAGAACCTGGAAGCCATAACTGGAAGCTCTGCCCAGAAGAATATACAGCAAGGAATGAATAGTATTGTAGGACAAAGTAAAGGCAGGAAGATACTGAGGTGTTTGTAATCAGATACTCTAAATACAAGAACCAGTGGGCTCTGGGTTGAAGAGAGAAACAGTGAACAGCCATGCACTATTAAAAAAAAAGAATGAGAATAGTATGGAAGGCTCAGAACAGCCTGAACAATACTGTTCTACTCTAGGATCATGGGATCAAGATAGAAATAGGGAACATAATGTCAGAAGACTATTCCAGTAAACCAGGTGTGAAAAAACAAAGGCATATACCAATGAAGCTGCTGTATCATCTGTCATAAATGCAAAGATCCTATAAAATTTCGTCAAATGAAAATCGGGGACTATTGCTATAATATCAGTAATTGGCCACAGAATCAGATGATCATCTATCAAAATCTGAGACTAGAACAAAGGAAATAGGGGCAAGCTAGGTCTGGAAGATAATTAGAGACATACTACAAGGTTGGGAAGAATGAGCAAGCCAAAATAATTATCTCAGTCATATTCATTTTTAAGTTTAAGTGATGGGAGGACCCTCCAGACAAAATACTAATTAAACTTTCATTCATTTTTGAACACACAATGTCATCAAGGACTACAAATGATTTATAGACTTGGAATAACAATGACACCCAAAACCCTGAATCATAACATTCAAGGGAAGGATATAAAAAATACTCAGGACTGCTCTTTCAGGGAACCTATTATAAAGGGAAATTTCTGTAAGGAATAGTAATGTATTAATATGTTTAGTATTAACAAATAATAGGAATACAAAAAGATTTGAATCAGTCAAATGCACAGTGAATCTTGTGTGTGTTATGGGTGGGGAGAGGGAACAGACTGTCACCTAGACAGCATTATCAAGAGTATCAGTGGTTTCAATTATTAGATATATTTAGCTGGGAGAAAATGAGGCTATAAAGAGACACTATATCTTTCTTCAAAGGGATGCCTTGTAGAAAATTGGCAGAATTGATAAGAATTGTTCTAGAAAATTGGTCAAGAAATAATGGGTTTAAATTGGAAGTAGATTTGATTGCACATTAAGGCCACCTCATAAGATGGTGGCTTTTCTGTTTTTGGAAATGAACAGAGTTTGGATGGTCTTCTGTTGGTCATGTTGCATTAATGGATTCCTGCACTGAGCAAGGACTTAAACAGAGTGGTTTCTTCCAAATTGGACATTCTGTGAGTCTATAATTTCAAGGAGAAGTCCATCAAAAATTCAAAACAATCTTATGTAAAGAAAGATCAACAAAAGCTCAGATTTCAAACATTTTATGAAAAGTGTTCTGATGTAACTTTTTCATATTTGAAGGCTTGCCAGAAAATACTATTTTACCCATTATGAAGAAATCATTGATGGATTTTAAGGAATCTTTGCCTATAATCATAGCTTTAAGGAATCCTAGTCTTCAGCGAAGGCATTGGGAAACAATACAGAATATTGTTGGAGAGTCAATTTCTTGGGATAAAAGACTTACTCTGGAGAAGATCCTGGAACTCAATGTAATTTTATGATTTATAATTTAGAAATGCCACTTCTAAAAACATATATATATATATTTGTTATTTGGCACACATTCTATTTTTGTAGTCTGAAGTGAACATTTTCTTAGATTTTCCATTTAACGTACAGCATTTTCTCCATGTTTTATTAATTTTCATCAATTTGAGTTTTGGATGAATTCTGGCCATTTTTGAAGGAAGTAATGCATGATGACCTTGTACATAGGGAATACGTGTTTCTTATATTAGGCTTTTATACATTTTTGGATACTATGCATAATCTCAAATAGGTCTGAAGAGATTTCCAGATTCCTTTTTCCATATTCTCAGAGTATTGTTCAAATACTCCTCCCCAAAAAAAGTTTAAGATTTACGGCAACTTTTTAAAAACTGCTTTCATTTTTTTATATATACAGATTTCTGCTACTGGAGAAGAATGTAAGGTAGCAAACTTCCTCCAGTGCTTTTGTCCATGCTGTGATACAATTGTTTTTGATAAAATTGATAAATATGCTATCATTGAAATATGTGGCGCTTGATCTTTTGCATCTCTGTAGAAAATATTTGCATGACTTGGGGTTCACAATGCCTTGGATCTGAAGGCAAAAAGTGTGTTGGATTGCACAGGGATGTAAATACAGCATGCATCTACTACTGAAAACAAATACATATTTTTCTGGGATCAAATGGCAGATCTGGAGGGTTAGTTGCATGACCCTGGGAAAAGGATGGCTGGGCTGAATTGCAGATATTTATTTATTAAATTTATATGCTGCCCATCTAACTGTCAAGCGACTCTTGTTATGTTCATATTTCCATGCATTGCAAAGCATTTTTTTGCCTATGAATTAAGAGTGTGCATGGTTCCTCTAGAGCCGTGATGGCAAACCTATGGCATGCGTGCCAGAGGTGGCACGCAGAGACCTCTCTGTGGGCACACACACCATCACCAGCTGCTCTTCTAATTTCTGGCACATATGTTGGTCTTCGCACGCATTGGAGCGCCGGAAACCCAAAAACCAGCTTGTCTTCGGGTTTCCGGCACTCTGGCATGTGCACCCACATGCACGTGTCCTGTTTGGGCACTCAGTTCGCCATCACTGCTCTAGAGAGCATGGCAATGACAAAGTCAGCAGTGATCATGTGCTTATTTTCTACAAGACATGATTAATGTGTATAATGGATGGTTCTGGGTTTTTACATTTTTCTGAAAATTCACATTTGCTGAATGTGCATCTTAATTATTTATATCATTTGTTTTGTTTACCAGCATACATTAGTAAATCTCCTATTTCTTTCTTTAGATGTTTCAGCATAGAAAAGATATTAATGAAATATCCATAAGAGCTTCCAAAGAAACAACTCTTGAAGTAATGTTGAAAAAAATCATTGGCCTTTGGCAAAAAACTGATTTCCATTTATGTCCCTATTACACTGAAACATCTAGTATTTGTATTATTTCATCTGTGGAAGATATAACTACTCTGTTAGAAGAGTCTCTGATGACAATCTCAACCATTAAAAGTTCTTGTTTTGTTGAACCAATTAAGGTAATCTTTCTTTGAGGATGTTGTGAAATAGTTTGAATATTGAGATGTTCAATTATTACAAATAGTTGGTTCCCCTTTAGAATGTCTGAGAAAAATTAGAAATAACTTATTTTTTTAAAATCAGTATAGTTTAAAATTTCGTGCTTTGCCTACGATTGTAGCCAGTGAATATTTTAAATAATAAAATTTAAATAATCAAATTTAAAATATTAAAAAATGTGTCCCGCGTCCCCCTTTATACTTAAAGAGCAGATTGTTTGCCTGCCTCAGATAATAATTATTCTGCTTTTTTTTAATGGTAGAATCTTGTTTATGCTTGGGATCATAAGTTAAACCTCATTTCCTGTACTCTGGAGGAATGGTTAACTTGTCAGAGACACTGGATTTATCTGGAGCCAATCTTTCAGGCTCCAGAAATAAAAAGGTATGCTTAAGTGCTTTGGTAATTAAATTTTAATATTATATCCCAAATAAAATATAAATTGAATAAATATTAAAGTATTAAACATTAGCTGTAGATCAGCAGTTTTCATTTCTGTGCTGCGAAAAGTCTGCATATGTGTTGCATCAGTGAGTCACAAATAAATGACAGGAAATGCTGCACAGCCTCACCACCAGAACTCTTCTTCAATGACATCACCAGGGATAGACTACTTCCATTTCTTCTTCTGAGTCCAATAACCTATGACATCATCTGACTTCCCCATGGGACATCATGGGAATTCCGGAAGTCCATATGAGATGTGTGACTGCTCAAGTTAACATTTTCTCAGTGTGCTGTTAGATGAAAAAACTTAAAAGCCACTGCTGCATATTGTGCTGTAGGCAATGCCTTGGAATGCAATAAATTACATTACTAGTGTTTCCTCATTTAATATAATTTATATAACTGTTCATTTCCTCTAAGTATTCTTAGTGATGTATAAAGATTAAAATAAAAGGAATAATAATATAATTTATAAAACAATATAACAAAAACCCCTGAGGAGGCATAAACTACGGTAATCTGCATTTTTGTTTAATGCTGTTTTCTGATGTGTCATTAGTAGTCATGTAAAATAAGTTCATGAAAATAAGTTGAACATATTACACTGTGTACTTAACAGATGAAAAGATGTTTACTATACTAACAATGTGCAAATCATTTTGAATTCAAGCAGTTCTGTTCAAAATAGGCTATTTTGACCTTATTGGAATAGTGTAAAAATCAGTAATCTTCAAGTGAAGTTGGAATATCCCATTTTGAGCTTGAAACAGCTGCTTTGCGTTCAAAATAGTTTGCACACTGTTAATATGTATCAGCATATATTTCTGTAATAAAGATTCTGAATTTAGGCATTTAGACCATACATAAATGAATAATGTTGTTATAAGTAAGCTACCTCTAGTAGCAGATATTTCTTATATCTCTAACTTGGCAATAATCAATGTTTTCTGGAGAAATTAGGGAGTTACTTTAAACATTAAAATAATTTAAATATAAAAATAATAAAAGAGATCTCAAATAGTGGTCATGAATATTTTTGTGGAAGTGGGTTCATGCTCACTCCTGGTTTTGCTAAACTACTTGTACCAGACCAGACCATGCATACAATCCAGGTGATGAGTCCCTCCTTCAATGCCCTTCGAGCATACAGCAATAAATTCTTGCAAAATTCACTTTTGAGCACCATCCAAGGGAAATCAGAAAGGATCAAAGGACCCTTACCAAATATGACTATCCCTTTTTTCTGGAGCAGCTTTTCCTAAGGAATATCCCATTTGGTCCTGAAGCTCAGGATCTATGCCTGAGCATTGTGCTGCTGCTACTTCTTGTAGGAGGAGTATGTATGTGCACATTTCTGCATATATGGAAAAGTGTTATGCACAAAGCACAGACACTTGTTTATCACTTAGTTTTACTTCTAGATCAGGAATTCCAGGATATTTTTAAATGACAGGTTCTATGGACTGAAAAGTTTGAAAATTCTGTTCTAATGTAATTATCCATGCTAGATATTGTTTGATTACTTTTACAAATAATTTTGTATTCTTTTTATTTCAAATGTGATATTGCATGCATGTTACTATTGCTGGGTTTTTTTTTCTTTCTAAGTTACTTTTGGCTATGGAAAATTAGCATAAAATTTTGCTTCTTTGTCTAAGCATATGGCTTAATGTATTACTACATTTTTTTCTAAATCTAAATTTGAGTGATTAGATTTTTTTACTATGTGTGTATGTATCATATACATATTCATATACATATGATTTAATAACAGACAACTTCCAGGAGAAGCCAGTCTCTTCTCTGTAGTTGATAACAAATGGAAAGAACTCATGACATTTGCAGCAGAGAATCCAAATGTTACTAAAGCAACTACAACAAGTGGAATTCTTGAAATACTGCAGAGCAACAATGCATCACTAGAAAAAATACAGAAGGCTCTTGAGGTAAGTCAAAGAATCTGTAATGTCTGGCAAAGAATCATGAACCACAATGAATAACATTTTGTAAACAGGAAAAAACAAGAAGCATAGACTAGCTTCTGCACTCTACATGTAGCATTCTGTTGTTGTAGGAACTATAGTTTTATTCCTCTTGCAAAGAGAAATGGGTAGGAACTGGGATGCACTTTTAAGACTGTGGCCTCTTTTTCTTTGGTCATACCTATAGACAAATTTATTATATACACACAAACCTGTCAGTCTGCCTGTCTCTTTAGTATTGGCAATTGCTTTCAGAGTAAAATACAAAAAAAAAAAATACAAATAAGAGCACAATACTGTAAATAATGCAGTGATATAATTGTTAACATATTAAATATTAAATGTCTGCCAGAAGAATTAACTAGTTTAACTTAAATTAGCTTCTGATTATATTTTATCTTGAAATCACTAATTCCAAGTTGCATTTGAGTACTTTTTAGAAAGAAGATGCTAAACATAATACTTTTTGTAATGCAAATAAACCAGGTAGATGGTTGGCATACATGCTGAGGAAAAACAAAAATCTCGTACCATAGAGAAAATAGAGTATAAAGGTAAAGAGCTGTATCACCAAAATATGATTAAAAAGGCATTTTTAGAATTTTATGCAAGACTGTATACTGCAGATAAAATACAAGGTGCAGAGGTAGAGACATATCTGGATAGACAGAATATTCCAATAGTTACAGAGGAACAAAGAGAACGGTTAAACCAATTAATAACAGAGGAGGAGATCCTCTCAACAATTAAACAGTTAAAAACTGGTAAGGCTCCTGGTACGGATGGATTAACAGCTGTGTATTATAAATATTTACAACTGGAGATGGTTTTACCTCTTAAAGAATTATTCAATAGAATTTAGCTGGGTGAAGGGGTACCACCTTCATGGAAAACAGCTTTTATTTCGTTAATTCCAAAAGAAGATCAAGATTTGACACAACTCAAAAATTATAGACCTATATCCTTATTGAATACAGATTATAAAATATTTGCTAAGATATTGGCAAATAGGTTAATGCTAGTAATGCAAAAGATGATTCATGCTGACCAAACTGGTTTTATACAAGGTAGACAAATGAAAAATAATGTAAGACAAATTGTTGACATATTGGAACATTTGGAAAGGAATAACCAAATCCCTGCGGTGCTTATATTTCTGGATGCGGAAAAAGCTTTTGATCGATTAGATTGGCAATTTTTATTGAGAGTGGTTAAAAGGATGCAATTTGGGAATTGCTTTATGCAGTCCATAAAAGCAATATATCAGGAACAGACAGCTCAGATAATTATTAATGGCAGTTTGACAGAAACTTTTAAAATTGAAAAAGGCACGAGGCAGGGATGTCCCTTATCGCCATTATTATTTATATTAACTTTGGAGTTGCTGTTAAATAAAATACTTAATGCAGATGGGATAAAGGGAATCAAAGTTAGAGATTATGAATATAAGATACGGGCATTTGCAGATGATTTGGTTATGACCTTAACTCATCCAGTGGAATCAGCAAAGGTTTTGATTGATATAATAAAACAGTATGGTCAAGTATCTGGGTTTAAGATAAACATTGGAAAAACAAAGATGATAGTTAAAAATATGACAGCTAATCAAAAAGAGGAGTTACAAAGGGTAATGGGATGTGAAATAGTTAAAAAAGTCAAGCATTTAGGAGTTTATATTGCATCTTCTAATGGTAAATTGCATAAGTATAATTATGAATTGATATGACATAAAATACAAGTTGAAATGGATAAATGGAAAAAACTACAATTGTCCTTGTTGGGTAGAATAGCAGTTATAAAAATGAATGTGTTGCCTAGGTTTTTGTTCCTCTTTCAAATGATACCAATACTAAAAAAGGATGCCAACCTGGAAGAGTGGCAGAAAGGTATTAATAAGTTCGTATGGCAAGGTAAGAAACCAAGGATAAAATTGAAAATAATGCAGGACATACGAGAAAGAGGAGGATTGAAAATGCCAAATTTAAAATTGTACTATGAAGCAGCTGTTCTATCAGCAATTAGTGATTGGATTAATTTAACAAATGGAAGGATATTGAATATTGAAGGGTATGATCTGGTCTATGGTTGGCATGCTTATTTAGTGTATGAAAAAAGGGTGGATAGAGCATTTAAGAGTCATATACTGAGAAATGCTTTATTGCGTGTCTGGAAGAAATATCAATATAAGTTAAATGAAAAAATACCTATATGGACAGCACCCAGGCACGCAATAGAGAATACGAGTATAGAATGTAGACAGGATGTAATTATGTATAAAGATATTCTCATTATGGAGGGCGGTATATTAAAATTAAAATCTGTGAATGTGTTGAAAGAGGAGAAAATAATTCAAACATGGTTTCAATATGTACAATTACAAGCCAGATGGAGAAAAGACCAGAAAACTGGTGTTATACAAAGTGATGAAAATTTAATTAAACAAATTAGAGACCAAAGCCCAGTGCATATAAAAAGATTGTATAATATATTGATAGAGATGGACTCGGAAACAGAGCTAGTTAAGGACTGTATGATAAAATGGGCGCAGAATTTTGAACAGCCAATAATGATGGAAACGTGGGAGAAAATATGGGTAACAAATGTGAAATTTACCAAAGCGCAAAATTTAAGGGAGAACTTTTATAAAATGTTTTATAGATGGCATCTAGATCCAAAAAAGTTATCTCGTATGCATCCGAATGTACAACCAAAATGTTGAAGATGTAATTGTGAGGATGCTACTTATTTTCACATTTGGTGGACATGTAAAAAGGTTAAAGCGTTTTGGATTAAAATCTGGTGGATTTTACAAAATATTCTTAAAAAGAGGTTGAAATTTACACCACAGCTGTTTCTTTTGGGTATAGTTACGGATTGTACAGTTATAGAGACCAAATTGATTTTGAATTTAATAACTGCAGCAAGACTGTTGGTGGCACAATATTGGAAGAAGCAAGATTTACCTACAATCCAAGAGTGGACAATGAAAGTTACAAATCTAGCGGAAATAGAAAGAAGAATAGCATTATAAAATTAGACATCTGTGAAATTCAAAAAAACATTAGGCTTTAATTCACACATTCATAAAAATGATATGGGTTAGGGTATTCTGGATTTCACAAATTTTAGGTTTCTAAAGTACTTCAATGTTTCCAAATTAAATAATGACCCCATTCAACTTTTTATATTGCTATGAAAAAGTTAAGAACTAGTAGATGAATAACAATTTATATGAAAAGTTCTAGTTTATTGTGCTACCAAGGAATTGTTAGTGGGTGAAGATGACATGTACTGCAGATACATGTTTTATATTGGTATTGTATATAAAAAAACCATGTACTGTATGAGCAGTGATGTGCTGGAACTGGCTCATAAGAGCTCATAAGAGCCAATTGTTAAAATTCACAACTGGCATTTTGTGAACTGTTTGAGAGTATAGTTATACAATTAGTTGAACTATAATGGCTGACACACTGACTAGCTGTTTGATGACTAGTGGTATGGTGTGACTGTCTGCAATGGACCTGGACAAGTGGTTGTTAAATATTTGCCAGCGCCTTATCTACAAAAACTACATAGCTGCACTGTCTTTTTTGAACTAAAAACTACACTTAAGTGGTTCTGATAAAACTGAAGCCAGTGAAAAATAAGTCTATTATAGAGCTTACAATTTTATTTCACTTTATTATTTTTAATTTTAAAAAATCTACTTTCTAATTTTCTGTCAGGAATATCTTGAAGTTAAACGTATGATTTTCCCAAGATTTTATTTTCTCAGCAATGCGGAACTCCTTGAAATAGTAGCTGAAAGTAAAAGTCCTGATGTTGTACAGGTAAGGTTCAATATCAGATATATAAACTGTCAGTTTAGCCATTTTAATGCAATCATTTCTAATATTATGCTAATTACTATTAGATTTTATTATCTTTCTAATATTTTAACTTGTGAACAAATAATTTTTATCATTACTTTCTAATTCATCCATCAAATAAATAATATTTGCCTCATATCTGTGATACAGCCTCATCTTATGAAATGTTTTGCAAATGTGAGGAAGTTATATATACGGCCGCAACATCAGACACCTCCAGTGGTTTTAATGATCAGATCTGCTGAAGGAGAGATTCTTCTAATACCAAAGTACAGTATGCTGTTACTTTAAATTGATCAGATATAAGTCAAATACAGTAAGAAAATGTTTTCATAGACATGCAAGCATTTTTTTCAATTTTACAGTATATTTTTGATTCCAAGAAAAAGAATTAATAAAATGCCAGCGTTATAATAACATATAAAGAAGAGTATAGTATACAATACTAAATTTGTTATAACTGAGTGATATGGATAGGAACTATTTAAGATCATTCAATTAAATAACAAACTTCTGTCTATGTATTGTAAGCCACTTCTTGAGAATGCATATGAAGGCCAATAGCTAAAGAACCAACATATGATTTCACATTGTTGTGAACAGATAACAGTAAATCTAATTTATATACTACTCAACTCCCTGCAACTCTGCACAATTTACAGTTGTTAAAACATTTAAAAACAAAGAACTATAAAAAAAGCACAAGATGAAAGAATAATGATGGGGGGGAAAAAAAGTCCTGAGCAAACAGCCAAATTTTTAAGGCACTTTCAGATCTTCAAGGCCCTTTGAAATACCAACAGGGTGGAAGCTCTTCAAATTTTGCAGCAGAATCTCATTCTAAAGGGCCAATATTTTTTTAAAAATGAAGTACCGTATTTTTCGGAGTATAAGACACACTTTTTTCCGACTCAGGCCAAATTACTGATACTGGTTCGCCCGAACTGGTGCAAACCGGTAGAAACTCACCACTGTTGCTTTTACATGCTGTGTGTGCTAACCTTTGAAGGTGACTCTTCAACAATGCAGATAGTGTTCCTCACAAAGCTAGGGAAAATAATCTCCTGATGAAATTTATATAGCCATCCATCTCAAGTACATGGTACAACACTAAAAAATACTAAATATTAAAATAAAACAACAAATAAAGACATATAGCTAGATAATCATATAAAGCCTTCAACATAGCTAAAAAAATTGACTCTGTTCCACAGTCCCCTAGGCTTGGACACAAGTCTGCAAACTGCTATTTGTTCTTGAAACATTGGTTTAGTTTCAGGACAAAATAAAGTTGTATCCTCAAAATATATTTTTGTTCTCAAATGGTTGATACTGGCCATTGGAAGGTGTATTTTTAATAATTTATAGAAATATGAAATATTAAAATGTGTCTTTATTCCTAAAAAACTCAATTTTAAAATTCTGTTTCATAGAGGTGTTCGTATTAGAGGTTCTGTCGAACAATGGCTTAAAAATGTTGAGAATACCATGTGCAATATGGTAAGAAAGTAAGTATATGTTAATCATATGGAAAGCTACCAATATAACTGATCTACTTTTTCTGTTACAAAAAAAAGTCATCAGGTTTTTTTAAAGTGGTATGCAATTTGTTCAAAACAAATTCAACTTTAAAATTATTTATTGGCAATTGAGAGCAATCATGATCATTCAGATGAAGAAACAAATTGAAGGGCTGAATAATTTTCCAGGTCCCCACCCTGGGATCAGAATATATTAATGAGATCAGAGTGCTGTCTACTTTGTGTTATTGGTGGCAATTCTTTGTCATCAGTATACTGTAGCATGTAGGATGCTAAATAGTAATATTAATCTTATAAGGGAATTATATATTATGAGCAATAAATCCCTGTCTCTTGAAAAATAAAATTCTATTATCAATAATAACTTCCTTTAAATAACTTGGAAATGGCTTAGTAATTTCTAAAAGGTAATTTTTCAAAGATTTCATGTTTTTCTGACTATATAATATACTTTAAGGTTTATAGAAATTGGAATTACAGAGTGGAATCAAATGGAATTTAAAGAATGGTTTTTTACCCACCCAGGACAGGTGATATTGATTGTGGTAAGCAAAATATAGTACTATTTAACTATATGAACTATACTTGATTGGAAAACGTAAGGCTCTATAAATGTTTTAAATTAATAAATAAAAATAAAATTAGACAACTTTAGCAAAAGTTTAGAGGCTTGCCAGGATCTAGCCCTCAGCATCTGAATCCACCCTCATCTACTCTTGCTGATTGTCTGCCTGGTCACCCTTAAATGATTGATTGTGTGCAGTTTGTGGGCTGACAACTTGATGAACTAAGGCCCTCAGGTTGGAGTCAAAGAAAACCATAACAATGTTCAAGAAAAATTGGAAGAAAAGTGAGTTATAACATCTGTAAGAATGTTTTTAAAAAATAAGATTGTAAGTATAAATGTAACTGGAGAAAAAATAATATAAATGCACGTGGATTGTGCGGGAGTGGCTGTATGACATGTAAATGAAAACTGCTTCTGTGCCTATGGAAAGAATGCTGGTATTACTCTCCTATACAGAGGGAGAATGCAAGAATGAATGCAAAAATTACTAAAGATTAATTTGTTATGTCTGCTTGGAAGGATGACAATAAACAATATTTCAGAAATGCAATGTAGTTTTATCCTGGTAAATGTGTGCAAAGCAGATTTTTGTTTTGTAGCAGACTATTGAGAAATGTATGGATATGAAAAAAAATTCTCATTTGTTGATTTAAAGAAAGTACATATTACAACATAGATGTGAGCCACTGTAATTTGCACCAGTTGAAGTTTCTGAGTAGCCTAGGAAGCCCATGTAAAGTATATTGCCAAGTTGAAACACCAGGTGTCCAATATATGAATGATTGCTATTAGGACCTCCCATTTTAAAGAGGCTTGCAATTAATGTATCAACCACAACTCCAGGTTGTGGACCTGCTGTTTCAGGAGGAGTATAACTCTACCCAGCATAAGTATAGTAGTTAACAAACAACCAGATGTAGTTGTCTGGGGGACAACTAGTTCTCCTGCCTTATTAGGATTCAACTCGTTTCTTCCTATCCTATGTTCCACCACATTTGGAATTTTGTTTTTGTTCCTTCTATTCTTAGGACTTAAATTTGATTTCTTTCCCTTTCCTCAAGTTTCGTTTAGGGAATAAGGGAGATACATTTTAATGTGACTTGCCTTGCCTTAGTCTAATGGGGATACTTTGAAGGATGTTTAAATACTTTCCTGTCTCAAGAATTACATTATTTGCAAGTAAATACAAATAAATAATTTAAAAAGTTATTATCATTACTAATGTAGTATTTCACTTTTAGAGTCACATAAAGTTTTCTCAGGAATGTGAAGCAGCTATGTTGAGTTCTAATTCAAAAAAGGAGATGATAGAAGACCTGGATGATTTGATCAACATTCTAGAGCAACTTACAGAGATAGCATCAGATATTCTTCCCTACCACAAGCAAAGCACTTTAGAAGCTTTGATTTCTTTGTCTATCCATAATAGAGATATATTATCTTTACTGATAGATCAAGAGATTGGCATTAAAGATTTTGAATGGACAAGGTATAGTTTAAGAGTTTACCTTAAATGCTAAGATATATTTAAGAATAAGTATTTTAAATAAACCAAAATGTAAATGTAATATGCAAAGCAGATATTTAATTTCAGATGCAATATTATTTCATTCCCTTTTATGTGTGTTCATAAATTGACTTTATGCATTTTACCCAGGGGTTCCGAGTAGATATACAGAATTCACTGCCTTAGTAACTTCTTAGCTGAATTACTGTAACACTATGTGTGCCTCAGGGGTGGGTTCTACTTACCTTTACTACTAATTCGCAACGGGATTGCACATGCATGCGAGCAAAGCTTGCATGCGTGTCTTGCTTCTGAGCATGCGTCTTGCTTCTGAGCATGCGTCTTGCTTCTGTGCATGCGCAGAACGCCGATGATGACATTCGGGGTGGTGGACGGGGCCTCCTGCCAGTTTTACTACCGGTTCTTATGAACCGGTCCGAATCGGGGGCAACCCACCACTGGTATGCCTGCTCTTGAAGACCACTTGGGAGTTACAACTGTGTGATACTTGTATTTCTGTTCCCTAAATTTTCATGCTGGAATCTTACCCTTTAAAAATGTAGACATTTTGTTAGCAATTTTGTAGAAGCAGTATTGGTTTCTTTTTAGTGAGGCGGGATCTATGTTTCTCAATATAATCTCTTTAGAGATACTTTCAAATGTTGTCTCCATAACTGAGGTTAAGCTAACTAGCCTTTTCTTGTTCTGTGACCTTTAAAAAAAATCTAGTCACATTGGCTACTTTCCAGCCCTTGAGAACAGATGTACTTGGTATGGAGCAAGTGGAAATGAAGACTTTTTTCCTTTACTTTCTGAAAGTACTAAGAACCACTTATTTCTTACTATTTTTAGCATAACTGTAACTTACCATAAATCATCCTGGTATTTTCCACTGGCATGAAAAAGCAAAGAGCAATTCAATAACATACAATTGCATTGCCTTTTCCAACAGATAGTTTTTTTAAAAAAATCTGGTTTATGTTGACATTTGAATGTAAATGTTTCACATAAATAAGACATTTGAAAGTGTATTATGCATAAAAGCTTACTTTGATCTCGAGGTGAACTCATGCCAGTGCAGGATGTTTATACTTGAACAAAATGTTCACATTCCTGTCACTAAAATAAAAGCTTGATTTTAGATACTTCATTGTACTGTTTTTTTAGAATTTGTCCTTGCTTGTTTTACCCTGTGCTCACCTAGTTCATATGGAAAATGCATGATGTGACAGATTTTCTTCTTCAGACACCATTTACAAAATCTGATACCATTTAAGAGTGAGAGGAAATGAGTGGCCAAGATCATCCAGCTGGTTTCCATGTCTGTGAAAGGCTTAGAACCTGAAAGTCAGAATAATAGAATAGGAAGGGACCTTGGAGGTCTTCTAGTCCAACCCCCTCCTCAGGCAGGAAGCCAACCCTATACCACATAAGACAAATGGTTGTCCAATCTCATCTTAAAAACTTCCAGTGTTACGAGCATTCACAATTTCTGAAGGCAAGTTGTTCCGCTGATTAACTGCTAGAAAATTTCTCCTTAGTTCTAGATTGCTTCTCTCCTTGATTAGTTTCTAACATTGCTTCTTGTCATGACTTCAGGGGCTTGGGAGAATAATGGAGAAGCCCCCATTCCTGATCTTGTATTTCAATCTTTATAACACACCAGTTCCCAGATACCTAATTTTCCTAATCTTTTAACATTTTGGATTGATTTTGGTATACTGAAAAATTCAATTCTTACAACACTGAATTGTTATGCCTGTATAATATGATATCTATAACATTTGATAATCCATATGATTAACTGCTATTAAACATGTTTTATTTAGGCAATTGCGTTACAAATGGCATGAATGCAACCTGTGCACAGTTATTCAAGGTTATGCTTCCTTTGAATATGGTTATGAATATTTAGGCTGCTCTCCACGATTGGTTATCACACCTCTTACTGATCAATGTTGGTTAACCATTACTGGAGCACTGCAATTAAATCTAGGATGCTGTCTTGCTGGGCCAGCTGGTACAGGAAAAACAGAGACAGTTAAAGATCTGTCAAAAGTAAGTGCTATATTCTATATCAAGATATACTTTTTGTAAAATGTATACTATATTTTATACACAATTCATAGCAAATACATATTTCAGGACAACACAGTTCTGCCATTTGCTACTCAAATTCCCTTCAAATTCTTACAAACTGATATCATATAAGTTAAATTAAGTTAACTTTACTTTATTGTCATTACACCTTGTACAACGAAATTAAATGCCATCTTCAGTGTACATTATAACTATAAAAATAAAACACAAACACACATCCTTCACATTCTTTACAATTGAATTGAAAACCCGATATTACATTAATATTGGACTATACAGTAGAATTTAATATAGTTACTGCCCTGGGATAGAAGCTTTTTTCAACCTATTTGTCCTTGTTTTTATTATCCTGTACCGTCTGCCAGATGGTAAAAGTTCAAAAAAAGGGTGCCCAGGATGAAATGGATCTTTAAGAATGTTTTGAACTTCCTTAAGGAAGGGGGGAGAGGGCAACCAATGATCCTCTGGGCAATGACGTTAACTCTCTGGAGTGCTGTCCTATCTGCCACTGTGTACTCTGCCACCTGTGTATTGGTAAACCATACACAGGTGCAGAGAGTTAAAATACTCTCTAAGTCCCACAGAACAGAGTAGAGTAGAGTAGAGTAGAGTAGAGTAGAGTAGAGTAGAGTAGAGTAGAACAGAACAGAACAGAACAGAACAGAACAGAACAGAACAGAACAAAACAGAACTCAATTCTTTATTGGCCAAGTGTGAAGGAATTTGTCTTTGGTGCATATGCTCTCAGTGTACATAAAAAGACAAGATACATTAGTCAAGAATCATAAGATACAACACTTAATGATAGTCATAGGGTACAAATAAGCAATCAAGTCATATTAGAAACAATATCAATATAAATCATAAGGATACAAGCAACAAAGTTACAGTCATGCAGTCATAAGTGGGAGGAGATGGGTGATAGGAACGATGAGAAGACTAATAGTAATAGTAATGCAGACTTAGTGAATAGTTTGACAGTGTTGAGGAAATTATTTGTTTAGCAGAATGAAGGCATTTGGGAAAAAACTGTTCTTGTGTTTAGTTGTTTTGGTGTGCAGTGCTCTATAGTGTCGTTTTGAGGGTAGGAGTTGAAACAATTTATGTCCAGGATACGAGGGGTATCTAGTATTGTATTGTGTTGTCTAGTATTGTAAGAGATGGTAGTATGGGAGGGTTTCTCCTAAAGTCTACCACCATTTCTACGATTTTGAGTGTGTTCAGTTCCAGATTGTTCCAGTCGTACCACGAGGCTAGTTATTCAACCTCCCATCTGTATGTGGATTCATCTTTGTCTCAAATGAGACCAATCACTCTTGTATCATCTGCAAACTTCAGTAGTTTAACAGATGGATTGTTTGAGATGCAGTCATTGATATATAGAGAGAAGTGGAAAGCGCACACATCCTTGGGGAGACCTTGTTTACAAAGAGGACCCTTGCATAGATCTTTGGAGATTCAAGATGTTTTAGGATGTAGTGCAGAGCCATATTGACAGCATCATCTGTCGATCTATTTGCTCAGTATGCAAACTGCAGGGGGTCTAACAGCAGATCCATGATGGTTTTCAGGTGGGACATCACTAGCCTTTCAAAGGTTTTCATAACTACAGATCAGGGGTGAAATGCTCCCGGTTCAGACCGGATCGCCCGATCCAGTAGCGATGGAGGCAGGTGGTTCGGAGAACTGGTAAACAAAAATCCCTGCCCCCCCCCAAGGCCCAGCTGAGCCACACTGGGGCTTTTTTTTAACTTTTAAAAGCATTTTTTCTACAACCTCTTCAGCCGAAAAAATGCTTGTAAAAGTTAAAAAAAAAGTCTCTGATGATCACGCGGCTCAGCTGGGATCGTCAAAGGCTTTTAAAAGAAAAAAAGCCTCTGCTGATCAGGCAACTCAGCTTGCATCGTCAGAGGCATTTAAAAGAAAAAAGTCTGGGAATGAGGTTTGCCATAACCGGTGATATTTTTAAGAGTTTTCCACATGTTTGCTGGTCCGTTTGCTGAGAACTGATTTCTTAGTTTTTCAGAGTAGCTTCTTTTTGCTGCTCTGATCTCCCTTGTTAATATATTTCTGGCCTGATTGTATAGCATTCTATCACCTTTTCTGTAGGCTTCCTCTTTGGTATGACGTAGTTGCTTAATTTTAGCTGTGAACCAAGGTTTATTCTTACTGTATATTCGCAAATTCCTGGTTTGTACACATAGGTCTTCACAGAAGCTGACATGATGTTACAGTATCTGTGAGTTCATCTAAGTCTGCAGAGGTATTTTCAAAAACATTCCAATCAGTGCAGTCAAGGCAAGCCTGTAGCTTTAGCTTTGCCTCCTCAGTCCAAGTCCTCACTGATTTAATTGTTTGTTTTGTGGTTTTAAGTCTTTGTCTGTAAGTAGGTACAAGGTGAATCATGCAATGATCAGAGTGTCCCACAGCTGCTCGTAGTAAACACTCGTGGTAAATGCTCGTGGTCAAACACTACTTTCTGTCTCTTAAACATGTGCTCTATCTTCTCTCTCTTGCTTTAATAAGCTGTCCTCAAGTGAATGTGATTGACCCACTTAATGGAACAAAACTTTTACAGCAATGGTAAAGAGAGGAAATGAATTTATTTAGAGAAAATATACATGCAGCACTCAGGGAGATTCCTTTCCTTAATTTTCCTAATGTCATGGCCCTATTGGAGCCTGGGTTCGAGGAAGAGGGTGTCAGGGCACTGATTAATCCCATTCTGCTTTTGGGATAATCGCACCCTGATTACGAGGGGTGGATCGAAACCTTTCCTTGCAAGCATACTTTAAGAAAACAAAACCCAAAGATATTTCTTCTAAGAAAACTCATTTATTTGTTATAAAGAAAATAAAACATCTAACTGATCTAATTAGTTACATTTTGAAAAAGTTCATGCCGGCTATTTCTCAGCTGGACCTTTCTGGCAAGAGAAGAAAGGGAAGAAAGTGTGTGAAGGAATGTGGGTGGACATGCGCAGTTTAGCTTACTGATAAGGATTCTTGGCAAGCTACGGAAAGTCTGATAGTCCAGAAATAATGAGCTCAGCTGGTAAATAAAAGAACGCGGTGACAGAGGGAGAGTTGGAGCTGGGGCTGATGGAGGAGGGTGGAGTGGCCTCTCTGACCCCAGAGGAGTGACCGGGGGAGCAGGCCAAAACAGTCCCGGGTCCCTTGGGCCTTGGAGAGATGGCTGGCAACAGAGAGGGCACAGGATGACCTAGTGAGGGAGGAGGAGAGGGAAAGAGTAGGCAGAGCAGCAGAGGAGCGACAGAGCTCCGGGGAGGAGCGATTGCCACCCCCACCAATCCTCTAATGTGGAAGGCGGAGAGGAGGTGGGATCAGCACAGGGGGAATCGATGCCTCCTCACAAGGCTCACCTGGAGAATAAGATTTAAAGAGATGCCATAGTGAGGAGCACTTGTCGGGAACAAGCGTTGCTTTTTTCCAGCCACGCTTGTAGTTGTTGACATCTTGCCACCTTGTCTTACTGTACTTAGCCTTGCTTTGCCTGGGTTCGACTTGCCTTGCTTTGCCAGTCCTGGCCTGGCCTGGCCGTGGGCAAGTACTCAGTAACACAGCTCTGCTTCAGGTTGTGCTGCAGCCTTCGTGCAACAAGGAGTCCCTGGAATCAAGTTTCCTGAATTGTGTTTGCTCTCAGAACTGATTACTTCTCTAGACTCACAGCAGCCAGGAACTAGTGGAGGGGTGTGTGTGTGTGTGTGTGTGTGTGTGTGTGTGTGTGTGTTTGGAGCGTTGTTCTTGGGCTTACAGTGAACTGTAGGAACTTTGGGGAGGAAAGTTGGAGCAATAAAAGGGAGTTAAGCCTTCACTCTGGCTGTGTTGCTTTTGTGCTGAGCCCCTATGCATCACATCTATGCACTAATTAGAAATTAACTATTATTATAATTATAATAATAATAATTATTATTATTACCGGTATTATTATAATTAACTATGCACCACACCTATGCACTAATTAGAAAGGCAGCTTAGGATCTTTTATTGAGTTAACAGCACAGAGTTCCATGTGTTACTACTCTTGACTGAAATAGAATATTCACTGCTCACATTTCCACTCTTATATACTGCTTATTCTTCCCTACACATATCTGACTCTTGCAATCAGAGCTGTTCAAGAACATAAGGACTCTACTCAGAAATATTACACAGATATCTTTTGTTTCAGACCTTTTATAATCTGTTGGGTGTTGAGCTAAATTGCTTTGTGCAATACTGATTTACAAGCTGCCACTGAGGTATTTATTAGATGTTTTAAGGTTGCCTAACTCCCCAAAATCCTTTTTGATTATAGCAATAGTATCTAGACTTATATATCACACCATAGTACTTTAAAGCACTCTCTGAGGAGTTTACAATACCATCATATTTCCCACAACAATCTGGGTCCTCATTTTACCAACCTTAGAAGGTTGGAAGGCTGAGTCAAACTTGAACCGGTGAGGATCAAACTCCTGACTGTGGGCAGACATAGCATGCAATACTGCATTCTAACCACTGCGCCACCATGGCTCCAGTACATAAGTTTATCCAATACATAAATTAAAAAAAACACGATTAAAGCAACATGATTGCCTGAATAAAAATAGCACTCTCAACCTTCAGAAAAAAGACTGAGCAGGGATTCTACAGACACCATAATCCAGGCCTGGAAACAGAGCCAAGTCTTTAGAGACTCCCAGAAGACTCCAGCCCTCATTTTTCTGGTGTACACTTCTTATCTCCCCCTTTTGATAACTCAGGTATCCAATAAGATGTGGATGTATGTGTCTTTTTCATTTTCAGATTATGTCTTATGCTCTCTTTTTTTATATCAGCGCTAGCTTTAACTTATTGTCATAAAATTTCTTAGTTTTATTAGGTACTTGAATCTGAAGATTAACATATTAAGATGAATATTAAACTTTGTAAGCCATTTTAGGAAATGCTTAATAATGAGGTAAAACTGCTTTAAATAAATAATGTCCACTTTTTCATTATAGGCGACCTTGAATATAAATTTTACTGACATCGTTTGGCCAAATACAATTAACTTGTAATCAGCTGTTTGAGCAGATCAGCAATTTTACTTTGTTAGACACTATATATATGATAGTAGAGTTTAATTTTTTATCTTGCAGTGTTAATATTCAGCTAACAGGGTAAACTGAATTCACATGTGTGGAAATGAAATGAAATTGCTCTCATTCCTTACTGTGCATTTTCAATGAATTAACTGTTGGTTGCTAGTGAAAGATAGTTTATTTTGCTATGAAGGATTTTTAAAGCTATGAAAAATAAACATGCAATTTTCATATTTAGACTAGAGATTAGCTTGAATCCATAATTAATATAATAGTGATGGAGACTTCATTGTCTCATGGCATGTTATTTAAATATACTTTATCTGATCTGCAAAAAAGTTAGGGTAATATTTATTTTTAATCCTGCATTTAGAATGTGGTTTCTTTTGAACCTTCAAAATATGCAAACTTTTTAAATGTAGCTATCTTAGACAAGTAGCTATTTGTAAGTTTAGCATTGCCTATATATATATATGTGTGTGTGTGTGTGTGTGTGTGTGTGTTTTTTTCTTTCTTCTTTTCTTATATATATATTACATAAGCTTAAGACTCAAAGTACCAAAAATTTATAATATATTACAAAATTCACATGTGTCCAAAGGTGAAAAGACATTGTTTAGCTAGCAGGCATCCTGAATTAGCAGAAATACTTTTTCTTTGCTAAGGCATTCCATATACTGTATATATTCTATGTTTTTAAGAGCCTTCTTTTTTTCAAAATTGTATTTCAATTTTTAAATTTGAAAACATAGATCTCCTTTAGGAAAGGGGCAAAATAATGGAATGTGCGTGATAAATCTAACCCAAAAGCATATAATCTTATTTGATATTTAATGCTTATTTGATTACAATTCAGTTCCATAGAACTTCTTCTGTTCAATATTATATTTTTTTACTTTTAGGCTTTGGGAAAATTCTGTCTTACATACAATTGTTCTGGAGATTTGGATGATAAGGTATGATAAACAATTTTATTTTAAGATGTAGAACATGGGTAGGCAAACCTTTGAGACAATTAGCATATTTGGAATTTTGAGAGCATGTTGTTAATATTGTCACATTTTGTGTGCCATGGTGGGTTTGAGCTATCATAAAGTAAATTTGGCTTTGACCATTAGTTGACTAGATTTTTGTATAGAGGTAGCAATAATAAACTCTTCTGTGCTTTGAACTCAATGAATGCTCCAAGTTATTTGTGCCTGACACTAATTTGCATAAGACAGAAGCCATGGAGGGTACAACATACCATTAGATGAGGACAATTATAGAACAGCTATCCAAGACAAGGTTACAAGCGATTCTGGTAGAGGTCATGTCAATTTGAAGCAGAATCAAAGGCTCAGTGATGTATGAAATGGGCCAAAAGCTACTCAGACTCTGAATGCAGTCTTAGAGACAATGCAATGAGCAATATTGGACAAAAAGCAGGCTTTTAAAACGGGCTTACTATGTATAAAACGTTTCCATAAGTACATGTATAAGTATTACAAAGGCAGATGTAGCTGTTTTACTTTTGAGCTTGGTGATAAATTGCATGAGACTTTATTCCTCACTTGTTATGCTTTATCTTTTTTTGTATATTTAAGGTAATGGGAAAATTGTTCTTTGGGCTTGTTCAATCTGGATCATGGTGTTGTTTTGATGAATTCAATCGGATTGATATAGAAGTCCTCTCTGCAATTGCTTCACATCTTCAGGCAATTAAGGCAGCTAAAGATAGCCTCAGTGTCAGGTAATTATTTGAAATTGCTGTGAGATTTTATTAATAATAATACTTTATGTTCAAAGTTGTGTGTAGTTTTGTATCATTAATATAAGAAACTTTCTGTGAAAGAAAGTTTTCATCTTTACGATTCTTGCCTAGAGCTGAATGGATGTCTTCTAATGATCTAAAAAGGCAAGAGCACAAATAACAAGTACCTTAGTTTGAAGATTTCAAACTACATGACTTTATTACTATATATTACTTACCAGATCTTGGCCAATCACGTGTTATAAAACGATGGCAAGCATCAGAAAATATTGGATTAGTATAAAATCAAATTAAGTGGATTTGGCAATGGATCTTGTGTTCATGATAAAAACTTATTGTACAGTTTAATTTTTTGAAACATGTGCCAGTTAATTATAAATTTATTTTCATTTTTGTTTATTATATTAAAAGGTTGTATTCTGACCTTGTTAGCTGGCTATCATAATTGGAATAATTTCTTTGTTGATTAGAATGTCACATAGAACTGATCAATGTCCTATGTTTCCTCCTTATAATTTGATTCAGGAACTACTGGCCTATTTTATTAGGCAATTGAAAGAATGTGGGATATTAAGATGACCAATGTCAAACATAAATTCTTTTGTATGCTGACATTCTTTGCTTATTAATCATTCCTAGTCTTCTGAAGTACTTTATATTGGTACTTTATATGGATGTTTATAAAAAAATGGGACCCAACATTTTGTTTGAAAATCTTTAATACCGTAATTGTTTCCAGAGATATTTTTTTGTTGATAAAAGCCATTATTTCTAAATGTCCATCTCAAATTAATGCAGATAGACACAAATTGGTAAAAATCAACATGAATTTATGAGAAAAAAATACTGTTAAAACTAATGTTGCTACAAGATTAATATTTATTCCTAAAGTTTCTATGTTGGTAAGTTATTTTAAGGAGATAGATACATTATGGAGAACGTTCTTATGAAATGGGAACAATTATGAGTTTCACATGAAGGTGTGGATTTTAACTTTCTTGACTTGTGCCATTGTATTTTTTGACCTTGTGTTTCATGAAATTTAAATGATTAATTAAAAATCATTACAGACACAGTTAGAATATTATTACTATCCTCTTTAATATCTTGGCCAGAACTTTCTTCCCATTTTAAAAGATGCAAAATATAAAGGGTGTACCAAAAGTCAGACCCTATAGACAATTTATTATATAAATTACATTAAATGTTGGTTGTCATTTTCATCTAAATACTTCCTTTGTCTTTTGATGTACATTACGATCAGTAATATTTTCTCTGAATAAAAAAAAGTAATAAAACATATTGTGGTTGGTCTGATTTTTGGTAAACCCAGTATATAGATGATGTTGGGAAGGAGCCTTAAATCTGATCCTACTTTTCACTAGAAACTGACATTAGGGAATAATTGTAGCTGGAAATTATAGGTAAAACTTTTTTGGGAAAGTTCATAGGCAAAAGGTTCATAAGCAAAAAATGAGATCACAACTTTGGATCAGCTCATTGTTCACCATTTGTTTTTTGCAAGAAGAATACTTTTTTCTAAATATACGGTTTCTAAATATGTACAGTATATAGTTAGTTTTTAGCTGTAACTGAAAAGCTTAGTTTAAATAGATGTGGGAATCTATAAACAAGTTTGAAAAAAAGGTTGTGTGAGTGATAGATTCTGTTATACTTAGATCTGCCAATTAACGTACTTTTATTTTATCAGAGCTTAATCATTCTGCATAAGCAGTCTTTGTATATGTGCTGCTTTTTGCCAAATGGGCACCTGTGGACATTATTGTAAGCCTATATATGGGCATATCTATCTACATTGATCAAACATTGTGGCTTGGATGTCTGCACTGTGCCTTTGGCAAAATAGTATATTCTGTATTTTATAGGTCAACTAATTGCCTCAACTATTTGCCTCCTTAAGCAGAACCTATTTCTGCTATATGTATAATATAGAAAAGCAGCACAAAGAATGATGGCAGATTGATTAGCAATAACTCTACTTCTTCAAATAGTCATTTCTGCAGGTACATAATACCCCTAATTTGTTCTATAATGGTGTATTTATTCTGAACTCCTGTGTTGGAATCAGAACTGAGCTCCTTTGCATTACACTCCATATGACATATATAGACAGGTCCTTAGTCCTCCCCTCAAACTTAGACTCTTCCTGATAGTGGTCTATGCAGATGCAAACCTCATATGTGTATATATTATCAATGTGTTATGCTAATATTGAACCATCTTCAATTGTATCTGATGTTTTAGGCTTAACTCTTTATTATCTTTAGAAGATCATTTGACGGCCGTGGCCAGGGGTGCCTTTTATCAGGTTCGCCTGATCCGCCAGTTGCATCCCTTTCTGGATCGGGACGCCTTGCGCACCGTCACTCATGCCCTAGTTACCTCCCGTATGGACTACTGTAATGCTCTCTACAGTGGGCTCCCCTTGAAAAGCACCCGGAGGCTCCAACTGGTCCAGAACATAGCCGCGCGGGTGATTATGGGTGCAGCTCATGTAACACCTCTCCTACGCGAGCTGCACTGGCTCCCGGTGTCTTCCGGGTACGATTCAAGGTGTTAGTTATCACCTTTAAAGCGCTCCATGGCTTAGGACCTGGGTACCTATGAGACCGTCTTTTGCCATCAATAGCCTCCCACCGACCAGTTCGTTCTCACAGGGAGGGACTACTCAGGGTACCGTCAGTCAAATTATGTCGACTGGCAACTCCCAGGGGGAGGGCCTTCTCTGTGGGGGCTCCAACCCTTTGGAATGAACTGCCCCCAGAGATATGGAATATCCCTGATCTCCGTGCTTTCCGCCGTGCCCTCAAGACCCTGATGTTCCAACAGGCGGGGCTAAACATACGAACATGTGAATGATTTTTTAAATGTTATCTAATTCTGGGTTTTATTTAATTGACCAAACTAAGTAATAATTTTAATTAGCAATTTTATGATGTTTGTGTGTCTATATTTTTCTTGACTGTACACCGCCTTGAGTCCACCTTGAGAAAGGTGGTATAGAAATATAATAAATAAATAAATAAATAAATAAATAAATAAATAAATAAATAAATAAATAAACTCAAGGTGCTTAACATATGTGGCATAACATCCTTAGAAGCTTAGGGCCACAGTATTTACGTGCTGTTTTTTGTATAAGGCAACAACTTGATCATTTTCTCTGCTTTTGTACACTACTTATTCTCTGACTGTAGTATATTGGAGCTGTTTTTACATTTAACACAGATTTGTACTGGAAGGAAAAGAAATTCGTCTGAGACTACACTGTGCAATTTTTATTACCATGAATCCTGGGTAAGTGATAACTACAGCTATCATTGTTCCATAACACCAGAACAAAAAGAACCTTTTTTGGGGGGGTGGGGAGTATTTTTTCCAAATAATGAAGCTGTGTTACATGAACTGGTAATTTCGATACAATGAGTTTAATATTGCCAATAGCTTTGCCTTTTCAAGATTTCAGAAAACAATATTTCTTAGCCTAATTTATTGATTCAGGGATAGATCATGGAATCTTTTAAATGCAAGGTATGTACTGCCAATGAATTATATTCCCATTTTCCAAATATTGTGGTTTTAAATTACCACTATTATTAATTTCAGAAAGTTAAATATTTTTTTCACTTGCATTTAAGCATCACTTATTACCATCATCCGCTATCATAATAGTGATCATACAATTATTTTCTCTGTGAACTCTACTTTTTCAGACTAGTACTGTATCTTTGTTGAAAGGAATTTTTATTTGTATGTAAAGCTAACATATTAAAGTGTTCTTAAGGAATGTGATGGCATTAACTTTTCTTTTAAGATACAAAGGTCGTGTGGAACTTCCAGACAACTTAAAATCATTATTTCGTCCTATGTCAATGGTTATACCGGATTATGAACTCATTGCTGAAATAATGTTGTTTTCAGAAGGCTTCAGATCAGCAAAATTACTCTCAGGGAAGATAGTAAATCTTTACCAACTTTCTAGCAAAAGACTATCGCAACAGGTAAAATACAAAGAATATATTTTTATTTTTTATATCCTAATTTTCTTCTGGAATGGAACTCAAAGTAGCTACATGACATTCCAGGTGATGCCCCTTAGAGGCAATGATTTGGAAAAGTAATGCAGAAATTACGTGTAAATACAGTATAAATTTACAGATAAATATTAGTCTGTGAAGCTAAATAGAATGGTCTGCTGTTCATAATGAGAGCAAACTAGTTGAGGAAGTACAAGATAGGCCAAAAACCATACAAATGCACACCTCTTTGCTTGCCTGCCTCTATGAATTTTCTAGAACCAAATATAATTTTTCTACAGGAAATGCACCTTTCAGTGAATATGCTCCTGAATCCAGTATAGGATTTTTCTTTTGGTTTCATTTCAAGTGCTATAGCAATGTTAGCTATCCAAAGTCAATAGCAAGTGGATGATCTTAGGGGAGAGAGAGAGGTAGAGATTCTTTTCAGCACTTATTGGGCAAAACCCTTCAATTTCTTGAAAGGATTATATTTTCTGGTCATTATCCTTATGTCATGCATTCATATTTTTAAAAGAAAGCTTCAAAAGTAATTGAGAATTGGTATCTTCCTGTAAAGCACTCAGGGTCTATGGTTAGGCAAATGCCCTTGCATTAGTGTATGAGATGTAGGAGCAAAATTCCCAACTGACAACTACACAGTACTATTATTTCCTACAGAGGGGCAGAGATTTCTACTTTCAGCCATCTTATCTTCTTCCTGTACTTTCATTGACAAATATCCCACTGGATAATTAGTATTCTAGAGTTCTTTTGGCACTTGTTAGGTTCAGTTAAGTTTCATTCCTGCACTCTGAAATGAAAGACCACAGGATTTCTGTGATATTCTTTCAGATATTTGATATAATATCATATACCCTCACAACTGCCTTTTCTAATGTTAAACATATTCAACTCTTTCAATCCTTGTTCATATAACATTGTTTCTAGACTCTTTATCTTCATTACTGTCTTTCTGTAAACCTGTTCCAATTTCTCTAAATCTTTCAAGTGTGGTGCCCGAATTGGATGTAATAAACAAAATAGAGTGGAGTGCATTTCTTTTTTTCTTGCAGCCACACAAAACTGATGCCTCATATTAAATTTGTAGTCACTTATTATTCCACTGTCTTTTTTTTTTTTACAAATACTGTTATCAGCCTAGTTATTTGCTATCCTGTATCTGTGCATTTTTATTTCCTAAGTAAAAAAAAGTTGTGCTCATCTCATTACATTTAGGGTTGTTACTTTTGTTTCTCCAATTTATTTTGTTTCTATATTAGCTATCTACCCAATTCTGTATCATCTGCAAAATTTATAAACATTCCTTCTACTTCCTATGAACACCTCTAGAATCATTGTAGTTTCCTGGAACCTGTTTTTTCCTTACCCCACACATGTGGCAGTTCCCTTATTGTGTTTTTAACAACCATAAACTTCTGCATAATTAATAGATATCACTGAACGAAACAGGATTAGTGTAGCACTGCCTCTTCTGAAAAATTGTTAGCACTTTGCCATCTTAACTGAACAATTAGTACATCTTTTTATTTTATTTTGTTTTGAATATATCTAATGAAACTCTTTCCAAATATCTTTGAACCTCAGATCATTAGTCCCGTCTGGACTACTGTAATGCTCTCTACATGGGGCTCCCCTTGAAGAGGACTCAGAGGCTTCAACTGGTCCAGAATGCAGCCGCGCAGGTGATTATGGGAGCGACACAACGCACCCATGTAACACCTCTCCTGTGCGAGCTGCACTGGCTCCCAGTGGTCTTCCGGGTGCGATTCAAGGTGTTGGTTATCATCTTTAAAGTGCTCCATGGCTTAGGACCTAGGTACTTACGAGATCGCCTTCTGCTACCGATAGCCTCCCACCGACCAATACGCTCCCACAGAGAGGGACTCCTCAGGGTGCTGTCTGTCAAACAATGTTGACTGGCGATCCCCAGGGGGAGAGCCTTCTCTGTGGGGGCACCTGCCCTCTGGAATGAATTGCCCCCAGAGATACGGATGATCCCTGACCTATGCGCCTTTCGCTGTGCCCTCTAGACATTATTGTTCCAACAAGCTGGGCTGGCCTAAACATGAATTTTAATGGTTGTCTTAGTTTTTTAATAATATTGGGACCAAATTATTTAATATATTTTAAATTGTTTTTAAATTTTATGTATATGTATATTTTATTGCTGGCTGTGCAGTACCCTGAGTCCCTCAGGAGAAGAGCGGTATAAAAATTTAAATAATAAATAAATAAGGTGGCACAGCAGACCGATAGCATTGTGATTAACACCAGCTGTCTGCAATTACTGTAAGTTCAAATCTCACCAGGCTCAAGGTTGACTCAGCCTTCCATCCTTTCTAAGTTAGGTAAATTGAGGACCCAGTTTGTGGGGGCAATAAGCTGACTTTGTATAAATATACAAAAGTATGAAGGCTATTACTTAACGCATTGTAAGCCGCCCTGAGTCTCCGGAGAACGGTGGCATATAAATCAAATAAATAAATAAATAAATAAATAAATAAATAAATAAATAAATAAAATAAATTAACATTCCTCACACATCTCTATAAGTGCTTAATTGATTTAATATCCAACCCTCATATGATTTAATTTAAAGCTCCTGTGCAGTTTACCCTGCTTTGACCAATCATGTTTTAACCAATTCTTTTTACATACAATCCATCTCATGGCAGCAATCTATAATCCAGCTAACTCAAATCATGATCCCATACATGGGCGGGTTTCAAAACCCGTCACTACCAGTTCGCTCATGGGCGTGCACACGCGCATGTGACACTTCTGCACATGCACAGAAGCGTCCAGGTAGGTGGAGCCTGCTGCCGCTACCTGTTCGCCTGATCCAGAGCGAACTAGTAGCAACCCACCATTGGGTTGCAAATCTTTCCTTAGCCTATATAACCATTCATTTGTAGTGGTTTTTTTTCCTAGATTTTTATAGTGGATAAAAGGGTGCAGAACACCCTTTGTTTTTCTTTCCTAGATTTTGACTTTATATCAGTATGAAAGGGTGCAGAACACACATTCCATGTTGGGGAACATTAAAAAAGGGATTGAGAATAAAAATCACAATATTACAAAATTATATTTGCACCTGGAACATTGTGTACCATTCTAGTAGCCATAAATAAAAGAGCATATAATAGAGCTGGGGAAAGTGCATAGCCAGTTTAGTGTAATGGTTAAGGTGCTGACCTAGAAACCAGGACCCTGAGTTCTTGTCAGGTACAATTAACCAGGTACAGGAAGTGAGTTCAAAGTACTAAAGGTTTATTACATGCCATCTATAGACAAGATTCTGGTCTATTAATGGTCAAGTCAAGCGGCATATTGGTTCAGTGATTAAGATGCTGAGCTTGTCAGCTGGAAAGCTGACAGCCCAGGTTTGAGACCCAAGCACTGCACAATGGGGTGAGCTCCTGTTACTCATGTCAGTTCTTGCTAATCTAGGAGGCTCTTTCAGCCAAGAATTAGAGATGAGCCTTGCCCCCTTGAGTCCATTATGACTGGACTGGGAAAACTTTTAAATCTTAATGGTGCTAGATATCAAATTGGCACTAGGTCAGCAAAATTTATGGGCTAGACTTGGATTTCATGTGAGTCTGCAGTGATTCGAGATTGATGATACACTTAATCCTGCCCTTTGGTTCAGCCAGCTCATCTGCTACAATTCTAGTCCTACCTTAGGCATGAAAACCACCTGGGTGACTTTGGGCCGGTTAGGCTTCCACCCCATAGAGTGTTGTTGTGGGAAAAATAGGAGGAGGAGGAATGAGCTTTATGTACGTTTGCTGTCCCAGGTTACTTATAAATCTTATTGTTATTACTTATAAAGTAATAACAATGGGATAAAAAATTCTATAAAATAAAATAAATAAAAATAATCAGTATGTTTCAAGGAGCTTTGCTTTTTTATCAGAAAAAGCTAGAACATTTGGAAAGAAGATGACTGGGGATAAACACTATTGAGGTATTTAAAATCATCATGACATAGAGAAAGTAGACAGGGAGAAATTTTCCCCATTTCTCAAAATGCTAAGACCAAAGGCGATCAGCGAAACTAATTAGAAGTTGATTTAGGAAAAAAAAAATACTTTGCCTAGTGTATGATTAATCTGTTGAATTTATTTTAACAAAATATCATCATGGCCACAAAGAAATTTGGTAAATTCATGAAAAACAAATTATCCAGGGTTACTACTTAGTGTTACTTCCAATCTGAAAGTAGTGTGCTTGTAAATTCTGACTTCAGAGTACGATAGTGAGAACTGTTTATGTCTCCATCTTCTGCTTGAAAGCAGTCCTGAAATATTTGCCTTACTGTGAGAAACGAAATGCTGAAGTTAAATGCATTTTGATCTGATCTAGCGCTATTACTCTTCTCTTAGCAATTTTGGCATGGTGTATCTGTTCATACCAAAAAGAAAGAAAAGTAGAAAGAAAGAAAGAGATAAGAGAAGGTACGCTTCTTCTCTACTGGCCAAGTAGATAAAAGAGATTCCAAAGAGCTCTTTCTGGGAACATCTGAGCATTTCAACACCATATTCTATCTTTTATATTATACAGAGCAGGGGTGAAATCTGAAATTTGTTATTACCGGTTCTGTGGGCATGGCTTGGTGATGGTGGGGTAATGTGACTGGGTAGGTGTGGCCAACTTTTTTTTTTACTTTTAAAAGCATTTTTTCTACAACCTTAAGAGATTGCAGAAAAAAATGCTTTTAAGAAGTAAATAAATAAATAAATAAATAAAATAAATAAGAAGCCTCTGACGATCAGGCAACTCAGCTGGGATCGCCAGAGGCTTTTAAAGGCATTTTTTTTTCTACAACCTCTTCGGCCGAAGAGGTTATAGAAAAAAAAATGCCTTTAAAAGCCTCTGACGATCCCAGCTGAGCCGCGCAATCATCAGAGGCTTTTTTTTTACTTTTAAAAGCATTTTTTCAGCCGAAGAGGTTGTAGAAAAAATGCTTTTAAAAGTTAAAAAAAACAGCCTCTGATGATCGCGCGGCTCAGCTAGGCATGGGGGGCGGGGGGCAAGGATTTTTGCTACCGGTTCTCTGAACCACCTGCTGCCATCATTACCGGATCAGGCGATCTGGTCCGAACCGGGAGCATTTCACCCCTGATACAGAGGTATCTATGCTAATTCTCACAACACATTTTCAACTTTCTTCTGGCCTTGTATGTCTATGGAGATTCCCAGTCATCCAAGTCATGGTTGTCCTAAAGGTGCTTTTTCAAAAGGCAATTGGACTTTCTTTGTTTTTCCTTGAAGACGTTTAGCTTCTCATCCAAGAAGCTTCTTCAGTTTTGACTGAATGGTGGAGAATGGAAGGATGTATGTTCCTTGCAATCATCTGGTCATTAGCACTCACTCTGAGAGTCATTGCGGCCCATTAAAGGTTTATCTGTGCTCTCAGGATCACCTGAATAGTGCAAAATTGTGGAACCTTCTTGGAATCACTGAAAGGACACATTCCTTACAACACAGCTCTTTCGGCAGTTCCAAGAAGGGATCTGGGATCCACATGCATAATTTACAAGGTGTAGTTTGACCATCCTCCAATACCTGCTTATTTAAAACAGCAGTTAAAACATCAGCCAAACCCTGTACCAGAGCTTTGAGATCTATCCCAGATTTCGTCTGGAACTCCACCTGAGCAGCTGATCAGGAGATTATTTGTTCCTGACCAAATAACTAACATACCAATAACTAACATACTATACTCTAAATCACCATCAGTGCCATGGGACAAATTACACATTAGCTCTGGAAGAGTTCAGTTGGAAATCAAATTAGTTAAATTGATAATAATTTTGACAAACATGCTATATAATAATTGCAAAGAAGATATTTGCAGTGCACAAAAATAAATTGTGTACTTATCTTATTTTTAGGATCATTATGATTTTGGCATGAGAGCTATAAAAACTGTATTAATAAGAGTTGGTCAAAGGCGTCAAGAGTTGAAACTACAGTAAGTTTTCTTAAGTGGTTTATATTAAAAATAGAACATTATTATATCTCAATTTGTGATCTACAGATTTTATATAAAGATAAGACTCACCGCTCTGAGTCCGAAAGGAGAAGGGCGGTATAGAAATCTGAAAAATAAAATAAATAAATAAAAGTTTTAGTAGAGGAGAGACCTGTTTTACTGTAATTCTATTTGTATTTCTTTTGAGAAAGCTGAAAGAAAACTGAAATCAATAGATTTATCTATGCATGCTTATTTAGAATATAGTCTTTTAAACTCAGAAGGACATATTGCTTCATAGAATTGCAACCTAAATTACCAAGATCCTAAATATTCCTATAGGAATATCTGCATTCATTAACCAACAAAAACTATCTATGAAATTAAGTTTCTTGATCAGTTTTGTTTCTGACTTCCAAAGCATTCAAATTACAGTTCTGTCATACCATAGAATAATGTTTAATTTGTAAGGCCTACCAAGGGAAGGAGGGAGGAGGGAGAAAAGAAAAAAGGAACTTTGACTGACAATTAATTAGCTATTATGCAGTTAAATATTAGGCAAAAATTGAGATATATGGATTACTAAAATAATTTATTAATTTTTAGTTTAGAGTAGACATATTGATATCCACGTTAGTGGGAATCTTCTGCATATTTTTTGGTATAAATTTAGTTTCTCTGGGTCCTTTTTGCCATATTTATTTACAAACCATACAAATTAACTTTTTCATTTTTAGATGAAAGTTTTTGTTTGTTTGTTTGTTTGTTTGTTTTGAACATGACAAAAATTCAGTCTAATATAGGAAAAGAAGCAAAACAGCAATAAAATGCCCAACTTTAGCAATATATGATCAAAAATGTGCATTTAAGAATATCTCCTTAAAAAGTATAGCATGTGTGGATTAATGAAAACAGTATGAGACTTAGAATAACTCATGAAATTCTAATTATTAGTTTTCTTGTATAATAGATTATATAATAGATACAATACTATTATTGTATAATAGATACAATAAAAAAAGGTTTTCTGCAATGGAGGAAACTCTAATCACAATTGACATACTGAAAGAAGTGAATTTACCAAAGTTAATTGCTGACGATGTTCCAGTATTTGAGGATATTATCAGAGATCTCTTTACAGAAACGGAAGCTCCAAAAGTAAATCCTAAACGATTAGAGGTAATAAAAATAAGAATAATTATTGTTGATACTAGCTATAGAAAGATATTTTTGACATTGGGGTTTTTTAATGTTATTAGCCATTCAGTTTGAGTATTTCAATGATTTTGTAAAGGAATTTAGAGCTGACCTTTGCGTATGTATGAGTGAGCCGTCAAAGAGGGACTTGGACAAGAGTTGACAAGATCCAGAGATAGGAGAAAGTGGGAGAAAGAAACTCAAAATAACTCTGCCTTAATTTTAGGATAAGATGGAACAGAGAAAAGTATAGTATAGCCTTTATTGTCATTATACATCATGTATACAACGAAATTGGTTAAAAACGTAGACAGGCTTTAAGGATCCTGTTAATATATGCTACAACAGTAAAGCAATATGCCTGGAATCCCAGTAACATTGGTGCCTTAACTTGGTCTATCTTGAAAAACTGACAGATATTCAGGGAACATGGGGCATATTCAGGTGTACATTCAGGCCTACTCAATGTCAAGACAATGAAATTGATTGTGCCTCTTTAATTTTTTTCCCTAATGTTGCCAGAATATCTATATTTTTTCTTAATACTAAAGTTTGGTTATTTTATATATTGTCAAACTATTGATCAGTCATAAAACTTCTAACCATCTGTCTATGTTTTTTAAATAGAGTGCAATATATCTTGCAATACAGCATTTATCTTTGCAGCCTTGGGAAAATCAGATAGAGAAAGTTATACAACTATACAATCAGCTTATGGTGAGTTCAATGGGACAATCAGGTAATGATATAGAGGTTAAATATGATACAAATATGTAGAACTTAAAATTTTACAGTGAGATCTTCCATTACAGGAATTGTATTTCTCTAAATGACAGAGATGGATGTTTATGGTGGAATGTAGTCAGGACTCACAGGAGGTAGGGCCTATTTCCCAGAGAGCAAAGAGACACCAGAGCTTGGAATAGCTGGTCAGCAGGAAGAGAACAAAGTTGGAGCCTCCCTAGCAATACACAGAGTATATCTAAAATTATTACAAGTAATTGCTTTAGTCTGGCAAGATTTTGCTGTAGACGAATAACAATAAAGGAACTACTCAGAAATTTAACTCCATATAATCGTTCTTGGTTATTTGGACCTGACATGTTGCAGCAATTGAGGAGTACAAAATCCCCATCAGCATATGCTTATAAATATACACTTTGTAAGACCTTTAGTTTGTATTTACTAAAATCTAAGCATTAATCATCTAAGGAATATGAATGTTGCAGATTTGATATTTTAAAATACATTTTCAGGCTCGTGTTGGTGTGATGCTTGTAGGCCCCACAGGTGGAGGAAAAACTACCATCAGAACAATTTTAGAAAAAGCCTTGATAATCTTTCCATTAGTTGATACGGAAAGTGCTACCAAACTTGATGTTTTTCAGGTAAGGATTTTTTTTTAAGTTACTCTTATGGTATGTATTAGTAGTTGCTCTCTTTTCTTGTAACCTTTCAGAGCAATAATCCATATTTTAAATATTTACTAGTTATTAAACAATGAGTAGTTGGCAGTCATGTTGAGTTATTGCCATAAAGTGTTCTGGTGAGATTTCTGACACAAAGCTGAACATCCAACAACTGAAAGAAGCTGTGCTTGATAGGTTAACGTGGAGAGTGCGTCCCTATAAAATTGCCAAGAATCGGACATGAGTGAATGGTTAAAACAAAAAGCGTCAGCAGTACTCAGTCAACTTTCACTAATTTCAGAAGGAAGCTTTGGTTTAGGTTGATACTTGAATGGGAACATGCTAAGAAATTACAGGACAATATGTTGAATAGAAATAAATTATTCAGGAAGAAAGCAATGGCAAAATATGTCCATATTGTTTTCAGAAGATTACTTAAATGTGTTCATCAAATCACCAAAGATCATACTTGATTTGAAGAAGACTTTACTAGGTCTTTAGGTCCTTGCTAAAGGTCCACTTGTTCAGTGATCATTCAAATTTAAGATGGTGCTAAATAAGGGAGACTTATTATGGGTTCTTGTAGTTGGGACCATTGCAGTGTCCCCACAGTCATGTGATTATGATTCTTTGCTACAATTTGATTATGCAATCAAATTGCAGCAAAAATGTTGCAGTTTCTCCTAGCCATGTGGTCATCATTTGTGATCTTGTGTACTTAGAATCAATCAATAACAAAATACACAAAACCCTTTTTATGGATTTGTACTTATAGGAAATAAAGGTAATTGCTCATTTAGAAGGATTTTTTTCTTCCTTAGAGTAATTCAAAGAGAAGCAAAGTGGATACATTTGTTGTAAACCCAAAGTGTGTTACTATTGATGAACTCTTTGGACAGACAAATCCTAGTACAATGGAATGGTCAGATGGATTATTATCATCAACAGTTCGAGGATTTGCCAAACTTGGGATCAAAAAAGCTAAAAGAAAAGATCCAAGCCTTGGTATAAATTCAGAAATGCAGGATTTATATACAGTGAGTACACAGTAATGTAGTAGGATATTGAGATATTTTTATTTCAAAATGTAGTTACATTTAGCTTACTACATTTAACATTTAGATATTACTAAGCATTTCATTCATTTTTTCATTTAATAACTTGCCAAACCCAGCACATTCTTCTTCAAAAGATGGAAATTATTTATTTTAAAAAGGTAGATGAAATGACACATTGATGATAGAAATGAATATCATTTAGTTTAATTTTTAAAATCCTCAATTTAAATGGTTACAATTATTTTAAATGTATGATTCTCTGAGTTTTAAGTTGCTGCTCTTCTCTTGTTTATTTCCCAGTAGTTTACTTTTTTGTTGGGTGTCCTCTATTCTTATCAGTCATATGCAAACACTTTTCTTTCTTTGGAAATCCTCGAACCTCTATTTGTTCTGAATGTGTTGGAAGCATATTCCAATCTACTTTCTTTTCTAGCTTCCCAGTTTTGCCTATTTAGCCAACACTCTTATGGTGACTCCAACTAGAAATAGAATTCACAACCTGATTTTATTTTGCTTTATTTCTATTTGTCTAAAATTCAAGAGATTTCAGATTGAAATTGTCTTTGATTGGGAACTTCCCAAAATTTCTTACAAAATTAATTTAGTATTTGGCTTTGTAATTGTAGTCTTCCTTTCACCTCATTATTTTAAGGAAATCCAGGATCTTAGTTATGTTTACCTTTTGTAAGTTATAATTATGTGATGTTTACCTAATGTTATATATTGCAATATAATTACTCTTATTTCTGCTTTTTAGCTGAATACAGTGACTATAGCTGATGCAGTTGTGCCTGATGAAATTGTACAATCAACAGAGAATATTCAATGTTAGTATAATCTCATTATAACAAATATGGGAATTATTTCATTATTGTGTGTATCTTAGTTAAAGATTCAGGTAGACAACTTTTTGATGTTTAACTAATTATGAACCAGCTCTACTGAAATTAGTTTCAACATCCTCCCTAGGAACAAAAAGGTAGCAATGGAAATCAAAAAACAAATGGATGTGTGATTTTTAAAAAAATAAAATGTGAATATTGTTTTTAATAACTATTTTACATTTTTAAATGCGCTTAAACTAGCTTTTTTTGTTGTTCTTTTAGGTGAAACTGCTGTTGACTGGCAGTGGATTATCCTGGATGGCCCAGTAGATCCACTTTGGATAGAAAACTTAAATTCTGTGCTAGATGACAGCAGAACATTATGTCTTGCTAACAGTGAAAGAATTTATCTATCACCAGCTTTCAGAGTGATATTTGAAGTGGACAGTGTGTCTCAAGCCAATCCAGCCACAATTAGTAGATGTGCCATGGTTTACGTGGTAGGTTTTGTTTTAAAAAGTAATAGTATACTTTCACATAATATTCTATATTTTTCATTTGCCGCCTTTAGCACACTAGCAAATAAACAAAATAATTATATTTGCAAAGAGATGGATGGTTTAATGCCCAGTTAATGAATTTCAGATGTAAAATGTGTGTACTTGACTAGATAAATATATTCCATAATAAATATTTTATAATTCAGTTTCAGTATGATTTCGTGACTATTCTAGAAATTAGTGAGATCAGACCCAACCAAGATCCCAAGAAGAATGAATCCATTATAAATTCATTGCCCACCCACTTTCTCTTCTGCTGATTCGTTGTTTGCTGCAAATATACTTTCCATTTTAGTTTTTTTGGGGCAACAAAGATTTTTGGCATCAAAATGAATGATCCTAGCAACAATTGGAAACTTTTCTGAGTTTGCTATTCTTATTCTTGGGAAGTAAGCAATAACTTTGCATAATAAAACTCAGGAATAGATCTGAGAATTATCAAATGACAGATTTGTATAAAAGAGATTTCAAGTTTTCCCAAGAAGTTTCATTTTGTCCTTTTTCTTAAATAATGTGACTTTCTACTGAGTCCCAATCCATTTTTCTAAACATTTCTTCATTGCACTAAACCAGGGTTGTCAAACTCAAGGCCCACGGGCTGGATCCAGCCCGCATGGTGCTTAGATCTGGCCTACGTGGCCGCCCTGGAAACAGTGAAGGACTGGCCTGCTGTGCCTCTGTCAATGAAAATGGACCTTGGGAAGACCATGCGCGCCCCTCCTGAGCTCCGTTTTCACTAGCAGAAGGCTGCAGAAGGCCATCACAGCCACTCTCCCTGATCTCTCCTTCCTCTGCTGGAGACAATGGATCCCCCCAGCCCTACCTGGGCTACCACAGGCGCCCCTGACACAAGTAATGTCAAGCTGACCATGCCCACCCCACCCACACCCATCCTGGCCATGTCTACCGGCCCCCCAAGGTCAAACACAATCCTCATGCGGCCCTCAATGAAATTGAGTTTGACACCCCTGTACTAAACTATCTGAATCCTATCTTGTGAAAGTATAAGATTTTAACTTGTACTTCACTCTCCTGTAAATTAACATGTATATGCTAACACTATTAATCATATATTTCATTATTTAATAAACCAAATTGTAGGCATTATGAAAGAAAAGGTGAGTATTTAGTTAGTTATTTATTAGTTTGTTTAAACTTATATGCCTCCCTTTCTCCGAGAGGACTCAGGGCGGCTCACAACAATAAAACAGAAAAATAAAACAAAATTCCAGATTAAAAATTACACATAAAATCCCTAAAATCAATTAAAATCCATTTTAAAAACCCCCATCAGTCCAGGCCGGCCAGGCGAAATAGCCACGTTTTTAGTTCGTGGCAGAAAGAGCAAAGGTTGGGGGCCATCCGGAGCTCCAGGGGGATCTGATTCTAGAGGGTAGGTGCGCCCACAGAGAAGGCCTGCTCCCTAAGGGTCGCCAGCCGACACTGTCTGGCCGACGGCACCCTGAGTAGGCCCTCTCTGTGGGAACGCACTGGGCGATGGGGAGCTATTGCTGGCTGCAGAAGGTCCGCCAAATACCCTGGTCCTAAGGCATGTAGGGCTTTATAGGTAATCAGCAGCACCTTGAATCTCACACCGAGGGCAACCAGTAACCAATGCAAGTCGCGCAGGAGGGGTGTAACATGAGAGCGTCGGGACACTCCCATCACTAGCCGTGCGGCTGCATTCTGCACCAGCTGAAGCCTCCGAGTGGTCTTCAGGGGCAGCCCCATGTAGAGAGCGTTGCAGTAGTCAATCCAGGAGGTGACCAGCGCATGAGTGACCGTGCGTCGGGCATCTTGGTTCAGGTAGGGACGCAACTGGCACACCAGATGAATCTGGGCAAATGCCCCCCTGGTCATGGTTGTAACATGATCTTCCAGAGACAACAGTGAATCCAGGAGGATGCCTAAGTTGCGCGCCCTGTCAACAGGGGGCAACACCTCACCCTCTGTAACCAGCGGTGGAGCATCCCCATGGAACCGAGATGCCGGTACCCACAGCCACTCTGTCTTGGCAGGGTTGAGCCGAAGCCTGTTCTTCCCCATCCAGAGCCACACCGCTTCCAGGCACCAGGACATCACGTCGAGGGCATCGCTGGGCTGATTCGGGGTGGATAGAAAAAGTTGGGTATCATCAGCATACTGATGATACCCGCCCCAAAACCACGGATGATCTCCCCCAGCAGCTTCATATAGATGTTGAACAAAAGGGGAGAGAGGACCGACCCCTGGGGCACCCCACACATAAGGGGCCTCAGGGCCGACCTCTGTCCTCCCGCCAATACCGCTTGCGAACGACCCGAGAGGTAGGATGAGAAACACCGTAAAACAGTGCCTCCCACCCTAACCCCTCGAGGCGTCGCAGTAGGATACCATGGTCGATGGTATCAAAAGCCGCCGAGAGATCTAACAGGACCAGAACAGAGGAATGTCCCCTGTCCCGAGCCCTCCAAAGATCGTCAACCAGCGTGACCAATGCAGTCTCCATGCTGTACCCGGGCCTGAAACCTGACTGGTACGGGTCCAGGTATACTGCTTCCTCCAGGGCCAACTGGAGCTGATGTGCCACCATGCTCTCAACAACCTTCGCAATAAAGCGAAGGTTGGAGACAGGACGAAAGTTGTTCAAGATAGCTGGATCCAAGGCAGGTTTCTTGAGGAGGGGTCTCACCACCGCCTCCTTCAAGGTGGCAGGGAAGCTCCCCTCACCCAAGGAAGCAGTAATCACTGCCTGGATCCAGTCACATGTAACCTCCCGAGCCGAATAAACAAGCCAGGAGGGACACGGGTCCAACAAACACGTGGTACGAGTAGTTAGCTTTAGAAATGGAGCAATGAAAAAATACTTCTGGATCATATTGTGTACATATATGCTACACAGGAAGTAGAATAATGAGATAAAACAAATAGCATTGACATAATTACATATTGAGGATATGGGATCATATTTTTTGTTAAGAGTTTGTTGCAAAAAACATCCAGAAGCACACACAGATAACTGATTCATTAATTTCTTTATATTCACACAAAGTATATTTACCATACCAACAGTTGATTCTTCAGCTCAGATCAGCAGACATGTTCACAAACACAGAGTACAGTAGAGAGCTTTAGTTTCACTTTTAGCTCTGCAGAGACTCAGAAGCTCCAGACTAAGACACGCCCTGGCTCCAGTCTGTCTCAACTCCCAATTGGCTGACTTTGTTACTATGTCCTATTCCAGTTGATGAATATACTCTGACACTCCTCCCTTCATAATTGGAATAAACATAAATCCAATTAACTTAATATTCTTCCCATGGTGCACTCCACCCAATGACTTGGTCATTATGTCTGCCAAATTGTCCTCTGAAGAACAGTGAAGCAAGCTAATCAGTTTATATTTTATGACTTCCCTGACATTACAATATTTAATGTCCACATGCTTGCTTTTATTCTTTACTCTGTCACCTGTTGCCATTTTAATGCAGGCAGCATTATCTTCATACATCGTTACAGCTTCATTTACCTTTACATTAAAATCCTGTAACAGCTGTATATACCAGGTTACCTCTGAACAGAATTCAGACAAAGCAATAAATTCTGCCTCCGTAGTTGAAATGGCGACAGTTATTTGCTTCTTGGACTTCCAACCAATTAAAGCTCCACCAAACAATACCACAATCCCAGAATTGGACTTACTAGTTTTTACATCATTTGCAAAATCGCTATCAACATAGCATTTTAATTTTAATTCTTCAGAGACTTGTATTTGAAGACCCAAATTCATAGTTCCCTTCAAATACCTGAGAACCCTTTTTACACCCACCAAAGCAATTGCGTTGGTGCAGCAGTAAAGCGACTCAAAATGCTTATTGCACAAGCTACCACTGTGACAGATATAACATGCTCCCTATTGCTGACTGATATATCTTGTGATCACAGGCTTCACTTTCGTCCTCACCCAAACTGTTATGAAAATCTGTGCTCATAGGTGTTGGAGCAGTATTACAATCTTTCATGTTATATCTCTCCAACAACTGTTCAATTTTTCTTTTTTGACTAAGAGCATAACCACCTTTCTCAGTCTTTTGTATCTCAGTCTTTTGTATCTCTACATTGCAAAGGATGTGATACACAAAGATCACCCACAAATGCTAATAGTTGACAATCCCCACCTTGTAACTTTCCAGTGTATATACAACCACCAGCCTTGCAACTCTTGAACCCAAGACCCTTCAATGCAGTATCCAAACATATATTCCAATTCCTGGCTGACTGCTTTAGCCCATAAATGGCCTTGTTCAATTTATACACCGGGTTAGGACTTTTACTTTCATACCCTGGTACTTGAACCATGTAAATTTCTTCCTCTAATTCAGCATTGAGGAATGCAGTGGTTATGTCAAAATGCCAAATTTTATGGCCATGTGCCACTGCCAACGCTAGTGCCAGCCTGATGCTTTCATTTTCTACAGTTGGCGTGAATACCTCACCATAGTGCACATTTTTCATCTGTGAAAAACCTTGTGCCACTAACCTTGCTTTATATTGTACCTCATTATTGGGCAGTAGTTTCTTCTTGTATGCCCACTTGCATTTTACAGCTTTGCTACCCTGTGGCAAAGTCATAGATGTGAACATGTTATGTTCCCCCATGGATTTCATTTCCTTGTCCATGGCTTCTTTTCACTTTATTTGTTCAATTTTAGGTAATGTCAATACTTCCTTATAGTTCTTTGGCTCATACCATACATTGCACACTTTTACTTTACTAGCAGAATACCTGTCAGGTGAAATCCCCTTGTTCTATCATTCTGACCTGCATGGCATTGACTGCTCCTGTTTCAACCCTTTCTTGCTTCATAGCTTTTCCAACTTCTTCAGTTTCTCCTCCTTGAACGCGGACACCATCACTAATTGAGTTACGCTCACCAAGAGAGTTACTGTCACTAAGTGAA